CTATATTCAGTAATTCATTACAACTTCCAGGAGGCCTCACATCTATATTCAGTAACTTATTACAACTTCCTGGAGGCCTCACATCTGTATTGTGTAATTCATTACAACTTCCTGGAGGCCTGACATCTATATTCAGTAATTCATTACAACTTCCAGGAGGCCTCATATCTATATTCAGTAATTCATTACAACTTCCAGAAGGCTTCACATCTATATTCAGTAATTCATTACAACTTCCTGGAGGCCTCACATCTATATTTAGTAATTCATTACAACTTCCAGGAGGCCTCACACTATACTCAGTAATTGATTACAACTTCCAGGTGGCCTCACATCTATATTCAGTTATTCTTCACAACTTCCTGAAGGCCTCACATCTGTATTGTGTAATTTATTACAACTTCCAGGAGGCCTCACACTATACTCAGTAATTCATTACAACTTCCAGGATGTCTTACATCTGTATTCGGTATTTCATTACAACTTCCAGGAGGCCGCATATCTATATTCAGTAATTCATTAGAACTTCCTGGAGGCCTCACATGTGTAATCAGTAATTCATTACAACTTCCTAAAGGCCCCACATCTTTATTTTTTAATTCATTACAACTTCCTGTAGGCCTGACATCTATATTCAGCAATTCATTACATCTTCCAGGAGGCCTCACATCTGTATTCAATAATTCATTACAACTTCCTGGAGGCCTCAGATCTCTATTCAGTAATTCATTGCAACTTCCAGGAGGCCTCACAGCTGTATTCAGTAATTCATTACAGCTTACATGAGGCCTTACATCTGTATTCAGTTATTCACTACAACTTCCTGGAGGCCTCACATGTGTAATCAGTAATTCATTACAACTTTCAGGAGGCCTCACATCTGTATTCAGGAATTCATTACAACTTCCAGGATGTCTTACATCTGTATTCGGTATTTCATTACAACTTCCAGGAGGCCTCACACTATACTCAGTAATTCATTACAACTTCCAGGTGGCCTCACGTCTATATTCAGTAATTCATTAGAACTTCCTGGAGGCCTCACATGTGTAATCAGTAATTCATTACAACTTCCAGGTGGGCTCACATCTATATTCAGTAATTAATTACAACTTCCTGGAGCACTCCCATCTGTATTGTGTAATTCATTACAATTTCCTGGAGGCCTCACATCTGTGTTGTGTAATTCATTACAACTTCCTGGGGGCCTCACACTATATTCAGTAATTCATTACTGTCTCCTGGAGGCCTCACATCTGTATGCAGTAACTTATTACAACTTCCTGGAGGCCTGACATCAATATTCAGTAATTCATTACAACCTCCAGGAGGCCTCACATATGTATTCAGTAATTCATTACAGCTTACATGAGGCCTTACATCTGTATTCAGTTATTCACTACAACTTCCTGGAGGCCTCATATCTATATTCAGTAATTAATTACAACTTCCTGGAGCACTCCCATCTGTATTGTGTAATTCATTTCAACTTCCAGGAGGCCTCACATATGTATTCAGTAATTCATTACAGCTTACATGAGGCCTTACATCTGTATTCAGTTATTCACTACAACTTCCTGGAGGCCTCAGATCTCTATTCAGTAATTCATTACAACTTACATGAGGCCTTACATCTGTATTTAGTAATTCATTACAACTTCCAGGTGGCCTCACGTCTATATTCAGTAATTCATTACTGTCTCCTGGAGGCCTCACATCTGTGTTGTGTAATTCATTACAACTTCCAGGATGTCTTACATCTGTATTCAGTATTTCATTACAACTTCCAGGAGGCCTCACATCTGTATTCAGGAATTCATTACAACTTCCAGGATGTCTTACATCTGTATTCAGTATTTCATTACAACTTCCAGGAGGCCGCATATCTATATTCAGTAATTCATTACTGTCTCCTGGAGGCCTCACATCTGTGTTGTGTAATTCATTACAACTTCCAGGTGGCCTCACGTCTATATTCAGTAATTCATTAGAACTTCCTGGAGGCCTCACATCTATATTTAGTAATTCATTACAACTTCCGGGAGGCCTCACACTATACTCAGTAATTCATTACAACTTCCGGGAGGCCTCACACTATACTCAGTAATTGATTACAACTTCCAGGTGGCCTCACGTCTATATTCAGTAATTCATTAGAACTTCCTGGAGGCCTCACATCTATATTTAGTAATTCATTACAACTTCCAGGATGTCTTACATCTGTATTCAGTATTTCATTACAACCTCCAGGAGGCCTCACATATGTAATCAGTAATTCATTACAACTTCAAGGAGGCCTCATATCTATATTCAGTAATTGATTACAACTTCCAGGTGGCCTCACGTCTATATTCAGTAATTCATTAGAACTTCCTGGAGGCCTCACATCAGTATTGTGTAATTCATTACAATTTCCTGGAGGCCTTACACTATATTCAGTAATTCATTACAACTTACATGAGGCCTTACATCTGTATTTAGTAATTCATTACAACTTCCAGGAGGCCACACATCTATATTCAGTAATATATTACAACTTCCTGGAGGCCTCACATCTATAGTCAGTAATTCATTTCAACTTCCTGGAGGCCTCACATCTATAGTCAGTAATTCATTTCAACTTCCTGGAGGCCTCACATCTATAGTCAGTAATTCATTTCAACTTCCTGGAGGCCTCACATTTGTATTGTGTAATTCATTACAACTTCCAGGAGGCCTCACACTATACTCAGTAATTCATTACAACTTCCAGGTGGCCTCACATCTATATTCAGTAATTCATTACAACTTCCTGGAGGCCTCACATCTGTATTCAGTAATTCATTACAACTTCCAGGAGGCCTCACACTATACTCAGTAATTCATTACAACTTCCAGGTGGCCTCACATCTATATTCAGTACTTCATTACAACTTCCTGGAGGCCTCACATCTGTGTTGTGTAATTCATTACAACTTCCAGGAGGCCTCACACTATACTCAGTAATTCATTACAACTTCCAGGTGGCCCCACATCTATATTCAGTAATTCATTACAACTTCCAGGAGGCCTCACATCTATATTCAGTAATTCATTACAGTTTCCTGGAGGCCTCACATCTGTATTCAGTAATTCATTACAACTTCCTGGAGGCCTCACATCTGTATTGTGTAATTCATTACAACTTCCAGGAGGCCTTACATCTGTATTCAGTTATTCACTACAACTTCCTGGAGGCCTCACATCTATATTCAGTAATTCATTACAACTTCCAGGAGGGCTCACATCTGTATTGATTTTTTTTCCGTCTCAATTTGAAACCCCTTTGTGTGTATATTCTCTATCCTACACTCATGGGTATGACAGATTACTTTTTCCTGATTCCAATCACCAGAACTAGTTCAAAACCACAAACAAAAAGGCGTTACAATTTCTTTGCTACATGGTATCGGAATGTTCCCAACCGAGTAATGTCAAGCCATCATTGTCCCATGTGAAATGGGGTGCAAGATAGGGATTTCTCACACACCTTTCTTACCATAGACAGTTTTGTCATATACACACAGGAATGACAGAATACATTTTTTTCAATGAAAGGTTATTTCTACAAAATATTTATTCAGCTTACCTTTTCTTCAAAGCTGGTAGGGGTGAGATGGAAGTCGTACAGGGGTACAAAGTATCCCTCCAGCAGCCCCATCAGGAGGACCAGGTACACGCCATCATGAAACTGTTAAAGTACAGGTAAATATAATTACAAAGTAAAGGTGAAAATGTATAAAGTGCAGGTAAAACTTCTACTTGACAAACAAAATAAACTTTTCAGTAAGTCTGCATCAAGTCATTTAAATAAAAAATGGAGCCAGACCTGGTGGTGCGTCAATCTTTTTTTTCTGATTTTCTAGACCTGAAGTTTTAATGGTCTATCCTTAACAAATTATGAAAAAATCAACATTGACATTTTTGGTTAAAAAGGATCTCTGTTGAAGACATTTGCTTTATTTTTTCCTGAGGTGCAAAAATAGGAATTGTAAATGAGAGAAATCACCTTGCAAAAACAAAACACTTTAGAGAATACTTATCCTCTAGCATACCCATCCCTGATACATTAGCTTGTTTAAGGTACTGTCAGATCTAACACCTGTATTAAGTCTCATGAATATCCAACAGAAAAAATGAAACTGAAGCAGTGACTTAGATTTTTTAAGAACAAAAACTTTGTCCCGAGGAAACTTCAGGGCAAAATGAATTCTAACCCCTTCAGCTATTTTGAACAACAAAATTGATGGACACTGTACAAAGACATACAGACACATGGCCTTGTTTAGGCAAGCAAACAATTAGTGTACCTGCTGGTCGAGGTCGGTTACTTCAAGATTTATCTTCAGCATCTGTTTATTGACAAAGGTCACCAGAGTCTACAACAAAACGAAACCATTATTATACAGTGTTCTCCCCAACCAGAACTGTTTAAGTATATATTTTGAAATGCTACGCATCACCAATTTACTGTTAAGCATGCATCTGGCCGTTACTCATTAAGATGTATATAAAGACACAAATACAACTGAAACATCAAGATCTCACAATTGATAAAGTGTCAAACGTGAACATGAGACCACAATTACCAGATTTGATTACCTTGATGTTTTCAGGAAGTTATTTGAAACTTACAGCTTGTATATATTATTTCAAATAAATTCCTCCTCACAAATGTTAACAAAGAAATCTTTCTAATACAATGATTTTATGACCTTTGTTAATTCACCTAACAACTTTTATACTGAATTTTTAGTAAACATTCTTGGTAAATGAACATTATGATCTCGTCAAGAGCGGATTGATACTTACTTTTTTCACTAAGTTAAGCTTATCTGGTGCATGGTCAAAGAGTGTATCAAAGGCATCTCGCTCTACAATGTAAACATGAGACTTTAATAACAACAAACTAAGGTCTCCATTAAAATAAAATAATCCTAGTAACAATCTCAGAGTGGCAAACAAAGAGATTGCTATAACACCAAACTAAGGTCTCCATTAAAATAAAAGAACCCTAATAACAATCTCAAAATGGCAAACAAAGAGATTTTGTTTTTCATAGGAAATTGTCCCTACTAAATAAGTTTCCAAAATGCAGGACTGAAATATATTTTAATACATAATTAACTAAGGTTTAACATTGAAAAAGTATTTTTAATATGATATAGGTATTCGTACTGCCTAGAGGCAAGTGCCCGAGTAGATTTCATATGTATTTTAGTTTATATATAACATCAACTACATGTACTAGATCAGGGAGACATATGAAACAACAATGCCTTAATTAGGGTTAGCTTTGTAATTGTGCAACCTATCTATAAATTTACATACATGTAAATCATATGTATTTTATTTATATACTTGCACAGTGGAATCTCAAAAAAAACAAGTTTTATTATTTTTCAACACTTCCAGAATGTAATTTTGTTTTGAATTTGGAGATGATTGTCAGTATGAAACAAACTGTATTTATTTTTTGTGTGATATATATATGTATTTACATATTATACTTACCAAACCTTGCCCCAATATCCCTGCAAAATTAAACCAGAAAACAAAAAGTTCAGTAAATTGGAAAACTGTTGCTAAGGAAACACTATCAATTCAACTCTGTTAAATTATACAGTAGAGTGTGAAATGTTACGAAATGATATCAGAAAATGGAATATCATACAACATTCTGTAGAACTCAGCTGTAAAACACATGTACAAGTTGTCTGATTAAATTACAACGTACACATACAAGTTGTCTGATTAAATTATAACATACACATACAAGTTGTCTGATTAAATTATTACGTACACATACAAGTTGTCTGATTAAATTATAACATACACGTACAAGTTGTCTGATTAAATTATAACATACACATACAAGTTGTCTGATTAAATTATTACATACACATACAAGTTGTCTGATTAAATTATAACATACACATACAAGTTGTCTGATAAAATTATAACATACACATACAAGTTGTCTGATTAAATTATAACATACACATACAAGTTGTCTGATTAAATTATAACATACACATACAAGTTGTCTGATTAAATTATAACATACACATACAAGTTGTCTGATTAAATTATAACATACACATACAAGTTGTCTGATTAAATTATAACATACACATACAAGTTGTCTGATTAAATTATAACATACACATACAAGTTGTCTGATTAAATTATAACATACACATACAAGTTGTCTGATTAAATTATAACATACACATACAAGTTGTCTGATTAAATTATAACATACACATACAAGTTGTCTGATTAAATTATAACATACACATACAAGTTGTCTGATTAAATTATAACATACACATACAAGTTGTCTGATTAAATTATAACATACACATACAAGTTGTCTGATTAAATTATAATGTACACATACAAGTTGTCTGATTAAATTATAACATACATGTACAAGTTGTCTGATTAAATTATAACGTACACATACAAGTTGTCTGATAAAAATATAAAACACATGTACAAGTTGTCTGATTAAATTATAACATACACGTACAAGTTGTCTGATAAAAATATAAAATAGGTGTACAAGTTGTCAGATTAAATATCAAGCTTACTCATTAATAGTTGTTATTTCTTCTGTCACCTGTCTGGGGAACAGTCTACCATCTCGTTTCTACAATAAAACAAATTGTACATTACATTAAAAAATATCTGAAACAAAAAATTCACTTATGAACAACCATATAAACCGAACTCACTAAACCTTTCCAGAATTAGTTCAAAGGCCAAAACACCAAGAGTTCTGTGTGACTAGCGATAGAGAAGTAGAATTTAGGAATGAGAAAGACAAGAAGATATTTGCAGAGTGTACTGTGTTCTCTATTGTCCGTGAATACATGTCTATTTTTTGACCTGATTTCCTGTAAATAGGTAAGTGTTGTTCATTTCATAAAATGTTACAGCAATTTACCCCAAGCAAGCGACAGGCTAACTTTGAATGATTCTTGACATTACTAGATTTATCAGCATGTGTCTTCTTTTTTTTGTTTTCATGCTTTTGCTTGTGACCTTTAAAATGGGTACATTAAAATGAACTCATTTGAACATTTTTTGAAAGGGAACAACACATCAATTAAAGCGTTCCCTAAACTGAGAGACCAATCAACAGCTAAAAGCATGAAAACCAGCTCATCATGCAATTTTGTGTTTAAAATGTTATCTTGACCTATTTTTGTTTATTTTAAATTAGAACCAACAACAAAGCATTACTTTTCCTTTTTATTACAACATAAGTTCACTTGTTTTCTTGTTTGTTGACAAGGCAGTGCATGCTGTATGGTGGCAGTGCGTGCTGTATGGTGGCAGTGCATGCTGTTTGGTGGCAGTGCGTGCTGTATGGTGGCATACATGTGCATTGACTACAGAATGATGTTGGCAATTGGAATGTAAACAAACTGCCTAGAATTTGATGGAAAATAGCTCATTAGCAATTTCTTTTAAAAATGTAGTAACATTGAAAATTTAGCTTTGTTTCTGAAAGAATTTTATTTGAAAACAGATTTAGCTTCACTTCATTTTCATAAAAATCAAATTCATTTTATCATATGGTTTGTGATTTATTAAAAGTTCTTATTTGAAGCTATACATTTCACCTCTTTAACTTTGAAAGTTGGTCAAGGTCATTAGTTGTAACAATTTTATATCCCTATACTCCTATTTCTTTCATTTTAAATCGATTGGAACATGTATCTTTACAAAATACTCATTTCTTGGGAGTGTTGGTTGAATATACAGCAGTAGATTAATTGTTGTTTATAAGATATATTATCAGACCTGCATTGACTTAATTCTTTTAATGAGATAGAGAAATGTGTACAGTTAAGCCTATAATAGGGGTTATGTTCTAATCTTACCGTCTCAAACAAACATAAATCATTTATCATGAAAACACAAACACTTGTATGGGGAGCAAGTCTCTGTAGTGAGCAAATTTCTTGGAAAAAAGAGGTACACCTATATTTTCCCAATTACTGTTGCCATTCCATTCAAGAAAATGTTCAGGGGTCGTCTTGCCTTAACAAACGGTCTTATTGGCTGCCACCTTGAACACCTTTATTATAAAAAAATAAAATCATTTGCATTCTTCAGCAAGTCATTATAGTATGATCCGAGATAACTGAAATGTTTCATCCAAACACAAAGGACTGGACTGGCATGTTTAACCTGTGAGCTACTCACCTGTACAACCATCAGTGTGATACAGACATTTTCAGGTAGTCGGATTGGTGCCCTGAAGTGACGAGCTAGGCTCACCAACAGATGCAAAATAGCTACTAAGTTCTTCGAGTGAATACCTGGAAAATAAAATCACTTTGATAACTCTCTTCAATAGGACAACAAAAAGGAGTATGTACCGCAACGAGTGTAGAAATTAGATAAGATTGTGTGAAAATACATTTTCACAAACCAGACTTTTGCTTTTCTTATTGAACCATGTTTAACAAGTACACAGACAACAATTTCAATGCACAAGCCTTACAGTATATCTAACTTTGACGATAACAAAATAATATTACATGGAAGCTAAATGTCCATGTTTAACTTACTGTCTATGTTTTAAATGGTTTTTGTATCTGTGTTAAGTGTTGTGGTGAATTTTGGGAGAGCTATCTCCCTTGGACTGTTGACTGCACCAGCAAGAGATCTCGTTGAGCTACATGATAACATTGCTTTGACTTCTTGGCATGGTCTCTTTACATCCTGACTTCATACAGAACAAATGTGAGAGAGTTTCCTCCACATTCTTACTGGTTTTGAGAGCTAAATGTTGTTCTCTAATTCAATGTAGAGACAGTGTGGGACTCTGAACACCAAATTTCTCTACAGTGTCCTATTATTATTTAACTCACAGTCTATGTTTTAAGTGTTTTTTGTATCTGTGTTAAGTGTCCATGTTTCACTCACTGTCTATGCTCCACTTGGATTGACTCCAGGCAGGAGGCAGCTGTAATTTCTCATTGATGACATCCAGTACAATCCAGAGCTTCTGTTTCTGGGCCTGCTCTGACTGGGTCACCTCTGGCACCTTTACCCTGATCCCAGCTAGCTTCTCTGTGAGCAGGAAAAAACAGATTTATCTCCCCTTTTCAATTGTATTTATGAAAGTACATACTGGTAATGGTTGATTATGAAGAATGTTACATGGCCTGTCCAGGTGTGACGAGTGACACACAGGTGTGAACTTTCAGTTGGGTATATTGATACTGGTAAATTTCCAGCTGATTATCTTTTTACAACATTCAAAATATGTAATGTAAAATGCAGATTACCTAAAACGAAGTAACATCATCTGAATCACATTGCATAAAATAGTTTGAAAAAACAGTGTTTCATACAGAATGTGATCTTCAGCAAAAACCAAAAAAACACATAAACTACTTGTAATATGATAATAAATGGAAAGTTCTTTAGCGTTAAATAAATACACATATTGTGTGATAAAATATTTATGTAGCTTCAATATCTGATTACAAACCAATTAACTTTTGCAGAATCTGTCCATCAAAGAGATCTTCCTCAATATCTTTGACAATAATTCTGTCATCTGCCAACACATCATTGATCCATTCCAAAAGCATCTGAAAAAATATGTAAGCAGAAAGGCATTTAACGATATATAATTTGATTTCCGGTACTTGTTAGATATTGTACTGTTCAATAATTTGATTTCAGGACACTTTTATGATAAATTCTAAGGATTCTATGGGATGAGATTGATAATTTTAATTAATGATACTTGTTCAGCTGGCTATCTTACAGTGAAAGACTTGTTATTTAAGGATATATGTTTGTGTGTTTTCACTGTGACAAACATTTGATTTAAGAATATTTCTGTGTGCATTCACTGTGACAAACATTTGATTTAAGGATATTTGTGTGTGTGTTCTCACTGTTACAAACTTTTGATTTAAGGATATTTGTGTGTGTGTTCTCACTGTTACAAATATTTAATTTAAGGATATTTGTGTGTGTGTTCTCACTGTGACAAACATTTGATTTAAGGATATTTGTGTGTGTGTTCTCACTGTGACAAACTTTTGATTCAATATATTTGTGTGTGTGTTCTCACTGTTACAAATATTTAATTTTAAGGATATTTGAGTACAGGTTCTAACTGTTACAAATATTTAATTTAAGGATATTTGTGTGTGTGTTCTCACTGTTACAAATATTTAATTGAAGGATATTTGTGTACAGGTTCTAACTGTGACAAATATTTGATTTATATCAAGGATACTTGTACATGCTATTTTAATTACTCTAACAAATATTTCTTTTTCAGAATAATTTACACTAATGAATCATAATATTATACAAGCCATTCGGATTGATATGTCTTGCCTAAGCCCTGCTTTGTCCATCAATGCACATATCAAAGAAACTAACTTCAAAAACTTAATGTTGATGGAGATGCTGACAAAGTCAATGGACCATGAAAGGAAGGCTGCATCCAGCATTTGATGCATGGGTCAAGAAGTACTACCTAAGTTGCATCTATGGTCCAAGTTTGGTTGGTCTAGCACTAATACTTTCAGAGAAACTAACTTAAATTCAAAAACTTAATGTTGACGCTGTCGCCGGAAAAGCAACACTAAGTCTCGCTTCCACCTCTTGGCAGCGAAACAAAAAATAAATGGACAAACTAATTTCTTATAATTAGGTACCCTAAAGTTTGATATGAAGGTCTTATATTGCATTGTCTGTCACATGAAAAGCATCATAAATGATCGACTTTTGATGACTCAATCAGAAACGTGACAACAGACTATGTGTATATTGAGCAAATAAAGTGTACTATAACCATGGACTTTTAAGCAGCTGGATGAATATTTTTAATCTAAAGTTAATTCTAAAAAGATATCTGAATAAATCATTCAATTATTAATAACAATACCTTGAACTTCTTTTGTCAAAATAATAGGATAAGTTAATAATACTGACATACAGGAAAACTTAACTATACATCTCTTCTCAAAGAAGGAACTAACCAGCTGGACTTACAGAACTTACGAGGTAAAACCAGTATGACCTACACATCTTATATGGTCAATCACCTAGACTGGTACAAATCTAATGTGGTCATACACCCAGCTTGATTTACAAATCTAACATGGTCAACAAGCTTGACTTACGAATCTAACATGGTCAGCCACCTTGACTTACAAAACTAATATGGTCAGCCATCTTGACTTACAAAACTAACATGGTCAGCCATCTTGACTTACAAAACTAACATGGTCAGCCATCTTGACTTACAAAAACTATTATGGTCAGCCACCTTGACTTACAAAACTAACATGATCAGCCACCTTGACTTATAAATCTAACATGGTCAGCCACCTTGACTTACAAAACTAACATGGTCGGCCACCTTGACTTACAAATCTTAAATGGTCGGCCATCTTGTCTTACAAAAATAACATGGTCAGCCATCTTGGCTTTCAAAACTAACATGGTCAGCCATCTTGACTTACAAAACTAACATGGTCAGCCACCTTGACTTACGAATCTAACATGGTCAGCCACCTTGACTTACAAATCTAACATGGTCAGCCACCTTGACTTATAAAACTAACATGGTCGGCCACCTTGACTTATAAATCTAACATGGTCAGACACATTGACTTACAAATCTAACATGGTCGGTCATCTCGACTTATAAATCTAACATGGTCAGACACCTTGACTTACAAAACTAACATGGTCGGCCACCTTGACTTATAAATCTAATATGGTCAGCCACCTTGACTTACAAAACTAACATGATCAGCCACCTTGACTTATAAATCTAACATGGTCAGCCATCTTGACTTACAAAACTAACATGGTCAGCCATCTTGACTTATAAATCCAACATGGTCAGACACCTTGACTTACAAATCTAACATGGTCGGCCATCTTGACTTACAAAACTAACATGGTCAGCCATCTTGACTTATAAATCTAACATGGTCAGACCCCTTGACTTACAAATCTAACATGGTCGGTCATCTTGACTTACAAAACTAACATGGTCAGCCATCTTGACTTATAAATCCAACATGGTCAGACACCTTGACTTACAAATCTAACATGGTCGGCCATCTTGACTTACAAAAATAACATGGTCGGCCACCTTGACTTACAAATCTAACATGGTCAGCCACCTTGACTTATAAATCTAACATGGTCAGCCACCTTGACTTACAAAACTAACATGGTCAGCCACCTTGACTTATAAATCTAACATGGTCAGCCACCTTGACTTACAAAACTAACATGGTCAGCCACCTTGACTTATAAATCTAACATGGTCAGCCACCTTGACTTACAAAACTAACATGGTCAGCCACCTTGACTTATAAATCTAACATGGTCAGCCACCTTGACTTACAAAACTAACATGGTCAGCCACCTTGACTTATAAATCTAACATGGTCAGCCACCTTGACTTACAAAACTAACATGGTCAGCCACCTTGACTTATAAATCTAACATGGTCAGCCACCTTGACTTACAAAACTAACATGGTCAGCCACCTTGACTTACAAATCTAACATGGTCGGCCACCTTGACTTACAAATCTAACATGGTCAGCCACCTTGACTTATAAATCTAACATGGTCAGCCATCTTGACTTACAAAACTAACATGGTCAGCCACGTGCACCTTGACTTACAAATCTTACATGGTCAGCCATCTTGACTTATAAAACTAACATGGTCAGCAACCTTAACTTATAAATCTAACATGGTCAGCCATCTTGACTTACAAAAATAACATGGTCAGCCATCTTGGCTTTCAAAACTAACATGGTCAGCCACCTTGACTTACAAATCTAACATGGTCAGACACCTTGACTTATAAATCTAAAATGGTCAGCCACCTTGACTTACAAAACTAACTTGGTCAGCCACCTTGACTTACAAAACTAACATGGTCAGCCACCTTGACTTACAAAACTAACATGGTCAGCAACCTTAACTTATAAATCTAACATGGTCAGCCCTCTTGACTTACAAAAATAACATGGTCGGCCACCTTGACTTACAAATCTAACATGGTCGGCCATCTTGACTTAGAAATTATACAAAGTCACCAGGTCCTAGGATCAAACGTTCCTTAACTTGGGAACTTCTTCAACATAAATTATTTTTCTACTGGGACCTTCAATTAAACTAGAGAGAAACCTGAAATTAAGACAATTTTCCATAACTTGATCAGCAATATGCTTTCCCATGAAACAAAACTTATGCAAATTCTTTTGTGAAACTTGGGTCAGTACACATGTATGTACTTGTATCTTACCTTAACTAATTCTTTAACTTTTGAATCCTCTCTTGACTGCGGCTCAATCATGGATCTTTCTTCATTGTCATCTATATGAAAACAATAAATTCAAGGTGCTAACAGGCCTAAGTAATGAGATAAATAGGACTATTGTGCTACAATCTGTACAAGTTTCTAATTTTAATTCAAATTAAATGTACTTTCGAATATTAAATATTATTTCCTCTTTTTTCACATTAAATATTATTTCCTCTCTTTTCACATTAAAGACTTCATACTGTAAACAAGGAGAATTAAAAAGAGAAAACGTATATATACATGGTAGATACATCACTTGTGGATGATAAATGTTCATGAGATGAAAGAAATAAAGTTGCTACAAGGATAATTGTACACTGTCCATCTAGCATTTTTCTTTCAGAGCATATGAAGAAGTTAAAGTTTGTAATTTACCCATGCTATATCCTTCTGGTCCAATATCAGCAAATGTGGGACTGGTAGGTGATTCAATGGCATTTTTACCCTCCTCTTGGAGTTCACTTACTATGAACGAAAAAAAGTACATATTTAAAATAACTGATAGTATTTTTACCTATATTATTAACACTAGATTGCTACTACATATTGCCATATGACTGTACTAAAAATGTGCTTCTGCCGAAATTTGGCAAATATTTTACTATTGGAAATTGGTAAGTGCCATGGTTACTGATCCAGGGTCATAAAAATTATGAAATGTTTGTTAAATAACACATGTGATAAAAATTAAATAGATATACCAAAGAGTAAAACTAAAAACATTTTTTCTTAAACATTGCCTACAGAGTAGCTAGCTATAACAACTAAATGTATCAAACTTCACCTTGTCACACTATTTATGCAGTAAATTCAAATAAATGGGAACATGAATTTATTTACTTGTGTATTTACTTCGAATTTACATGAGAAGCACAAATCAATGGCTCTGATGAAAAAGACCTACAAATGTATCTCACCACACAAATCAATGTCTCTGATGAAGAAGACCTACAAATGTATCTCACCACACAAATCAATGTCTATGATGAATCCACAAAGACAGGATTTCCGTTTTGAGAAGAGTTTTGATGACTTCGGGTGGTTTTTTTTGGGTTTTTTTAAAGAATGATAATTTAATAGAAATGGAAGAAAAGCAAATAAACAAACAAAACCACCAAAAAATACATATAATTTCTTCGGCTCAGCTTATATATAAGTAGCTGTAAAATTGCACTGATTGGGTGTCTACATTGACAATACAATTGTTAATACTATGAAGAACCATTACAGAAATTAATACAAAAATATATCCAAAACATCATAATATTATATATCTATTTATTTAGCTGCTGGTTTTTAAATGGATTGCTTTTTTTAAACTGTCAGAAAATGTTACAGGAACTGATCATACAACGGGAGGTAAAACACAATAGAATTTTATGAGATCTGACATACAGTTTTGGACAACTCGTGAATTTATTAGAAATAATACCATACCTGGTTAACTTTGTGGACGATTTTATTATCTTAAAATGATTTAAAATGGCATTTTCATGATTTAGCACATTATTGAAAACCATATTTATGAATTACACCTTCATTAAATTGCCAATGACACAACAACCTGATGATGACTGTGATTTCAGGAGCCAATATTTGGCTTCTGATATGTGTGGGGAGGCACCAATCTATAGCCAATTAATATTAGCCATGCTCAATGTTGCGGAGTTAGTCTGAGCTTCCCCAGATATACTGCATCACTGAAAAAAACGGCTTGCCATTAGGCAGTACGTGTATATATATGTATTTCAACCTCTTTTCCTTGGCTGTTACGTACATACTACAATTCTACACTCGTGTCTAAATCCAAATATTTATTTTGTAGAAACAATTTCATTTACCAATGAAAAAAATTGTTGTTGAATAAATTAGCGTTTAACCTCGATTTTCAACCTGTCAATTTGCTACACTATTCCTATTTTCTAAGATCTGATGATTTCATCTGAAAGAACAGCTTAATAGATGTCATTTAAAAGTGTTATTTTTTCCCTATGGTGTACATACAAACAATTTATTTATGCTTTTAATTCTGAGCATGCATAATCTCCCCAGGGAAATGAAAAAAACACTGGCAAGTAGTGCTATTTCTTTTCAATACTTAACACTGAAGTATTCTTATTAAAGGTGATGTCTTCAATCGGGAATTGTAGATAAACTGCTTTAAGCCATTTAATTTTCTCAGGTCCAGTATACTCTGCCGATTGGTCTATATAGCTGTAATGACCTGTAAGAACTTTATCTGACCTGTAAGAACTTTATCAACTTATCTAAATTTACATTATAATGTAGGTCTTTTGAGCTATTTTCATTTATTTTTCTTTCTAATAAAAACAAGTCCCGTTTGAATGATGGTTGTATTGTTATTTTGATCATGAAAGACATAAAAAACGAAAATATTACATTTATGAAAAATAAAATAAAGCAACTACATAGCGCATTCAGCGTATGTATCCTCGTGTTATTGGTTTCCGCGCACTAGAAACAGTCGTGATTTTGTACTCATGTTGGTAGAAAACTGTTGAAATTACGAATGACTGTCAAAGATATGTACACAATCCACTAATGGACAACAAAAAACTATCACCCTAAAACTGTATTTAAAAACAATCATAACAAACGTTTTTATAACAAATTTCTCCCGTCGGAAGTAGCCATCATATGTTTTCGTGGGTCTATTTTGATTTAGTGTTCAAAGAAAGATACCTCGAATACACTGGATAGAAATTCTACACAGTGGCCCGCACGAACTAAAGCTTTGTTAAAACAAGAATTACGCGTAATTATATGTCTCGCCATTACCCGCTTTGTGTTTTCACACAGTTTATGCTCATAGCATTTTCAAATAAATTCTGTCAAAGAGGAGAATCTTTATAACCATGTAATGAGTAAGACAGCATTTTCTCAAAAAAATAAAGTGGTATACCGGTAAATTATGTCCAATTCTAAAAATCAACCAAAATTCTAAGTTTTCTGCCCCCAAAAAAATGTTGTGATCATCTCAGCAAAAATCCCATATTATATATTGATGTACTGTGGATACTGAAGGTGTGTATGCAATTTTAAGTTAATCTAACAATTGTTAAAGAAGTTATGTCCAATTCTCAAAATCACCCCAAATTCTATGTTTTTGGTTCAAAATATGTAAAAGAAATCAAAAAATGGAAAAAAATCCCCACTTTGACTCCATAGTATGAAAGGTAGACCCCAAAGGAAGCTTCATGCAAAATTTCAACAGCATAATGCCATTATTAATTGATTAAGAAGCATGTAATGAAAACATAACGTTGAGCTAAACGCAATGTTTGATGCCGTCATCGCCGCCGTTAGTGCCGGAAAAGCAACACCTTAGTCACGCTTTCGCTTCTCCGTCGCAGTGAGACAAAAATTATCTTTGATCATCAAATTAATTGATTTAAAAAAATTGATTTCTCAATAAGTCAACTTGAACAAATCAATTTAATTTTATAAATTAATTTAATTTAATTTATTTAGTTATAATAATCTGTTATTATTTTTTGTGCAGTCTTATATCGGTTTTGGTTGATGGTTAAGTTATTTCTCATTTTATTCTGTTTAAAATTTGTGAAAATTGGGTGTTCATTCCATTACAAGGCTTATGTTTCATTACAAACAGTGTTTATCGATATAAGAATGCCCCCTTCGCTCTTCAGAAGTGGAAAAAAATTGGCGAGGAGATGTGGCCTCATTTGCATACAGCATTTACATACCATTTTCAGACTAAAAAAAAGACCGGTTCATGAATGGAATGTATCACTGGTTTTTTTCCAGGTATTGGTTCATTTGGAGCAAGCTAAAAAGTGAAAAACTGCATATTTATGCGTGTTTTTTAATCAGTAATTCTTTCCGGACGAATTTCCGGTATTTTTTGCATCAGTTTACAGACGTTGGCCAAACGTCTAAAATATCCTTGTGTAGTGTCCAGCAGGTCACAAAGTAACGATATATAGTTTGATAAAATGGCTGCGCGGAAATATATAACGCGCGGAAACTTATGACTAGACTATATATACTATGGGACAAGGGGAGATAACATAACAAATATATACAACCAATAACAACGAGCACATGATGCATTGTTTTCAGCATAAATTATATTGTAATGATAACCGTAATGTTGATTAAGTCGTTACAGCAAACTTTTGGGAAGTGTATTGGTATTTTTATTGTATATCCATTTATGGTAATGTTGTGGAAAATGCACAGGATGAAAAGTTTGGAAAACATCCGAAATATTTCGACTGGAGATTGGCCTTATCCATGCAATATGTACCATTTGAGACGATTTAAAGCCGTCACATATTTGAGAAATTACCTTCTTTCGCCTTCTTTTTCCTTCCCAATGTACCAATTTTATCCAGAAAGGAGTCTTCCTTCTTTCTAGGTGTTGCTGGTGGTGGGGAACTTGGTTGTGTGGCCATTTTGACTTTTACACATTTCCGCTGTGAAGGTCAAAGGTCAGAGGTAATAAAATCACAATGAAGTAAACAAAGTGCAAGTAATGACATTTTGTGCACAACATAAACTATTCTCTGACAACGTTTTACCACGATAAAAATTGTTATTTGTAATAATCACTTTCATCTGATTTTCATCGATATATATAAGAAATTACCACAACGCGAAAGTTTCGAGAGTATCAGGATAAAAAGTTACGCAAGCGTCAAGGAAGTGGTCAGGGTGCACTACTGTAGCTCAAGTATTCAAGGAAAGGAGAAGGTAAACGAAATTCTTAGCCTGCAATGAATCGCATCTTGAGTTATTCAGTATATGCTTATTACTATTAATGGTGTCTTTGATGCTGTCACTCTGTAGTTGTTTATTAAACAAGTAAAACGTAGGACATTTCGTCCCAGCCACTCCCCCTCGACTCCCTACTTCGGCGACACACGAGGTGTATATGTTTTTGGAGAATGGGATACCTCGTAGGATGGTTAAAACAATTTAATTGCATCTGACACATTTCCCACTTCCAAAAGCAATAGGGTAAGTATTTCCCACTTCCAAAAGCAACAGGGTAATGCACGGCCAGACGGGGGTTCGAAGCCAGGACCCTCCAAACTCTAGACGGATGCTCTACCAAATGAGTAACACTACGCGAAATTCTATCATCAAATCCTGTTCCCTGCTGACAAGCTCTAGACTATTCAAGTCTTTCAGTAGTTGAAGGAACTTCTCTGATGACAAGATATACTGGTGAAGGACACTCCCAATAGTAAAGAGGTCAACCTTCAACTTTGGTGAGATGATATGAAAAGGAGGAACAACATGCACTACAGATATCTTATTCATATCTCTTCCACATCACCTGTTTACATTACAAAGATTGTCAGTGAGAGGAATTTCAGAGTCATGATGGTCTTTAATCTCCACGGAGGGTCCTCGAAGGCCTGCGAGTGATCTGGGACTGGTGTACCCTGCAAGCAAGCTTTTGTAACCCACAATGGGTCTTAAAGAATTACCTTCCTCTGTTTATTATGGCCATGTAATTGTCACCCCCTCGAGTTGTCACTCAAACGAGTTACAATATCAGCTGAAGATGACCAAAGTCATCAGTCTTGAGGAAGATCGCAGTAAGGTCTGAACTTTGATCAAGTATTGAAAATAGGTTGCACTAAACGAAAAGCCCATCTCAAATCTACCAAACAATTTCAAGATAATCTTGACCCATTGTACATAATAGAATCCCCTGAAATTGCAACCTGGTTTCCAGAAGCAACAGGGATATGAAGTTTGAGCTTTCTAACAATGGTTTAATGAATGAAGAATTAGTGGCCGACTACACCATTGGATTTGTTCATTGGTAACTTATTCCGGTTGATGAAGTACCACCCAGGAAAAACCTGCATGATGTTGACAGGTATTATTTAATGAGCAGCTCTTAAAAGTAGGTTTTGGTCCGAAGTGGATCCGGGGTAGTTCAAAGGGAAATGTACATCATATTTATTAGATCCTAATTATTGAAAGAGATGCACAGCTGTTGTGATGGTTGACATTGACAGCTGTTGTGATGGTTGAGAACTGTTGTGATGGTTGAGAGCTGAGAGCTGTTGTGATGGTTGAGAGCTGTTGTGATGGTTGACAGCTGTTGTGATGGTTGGTATTTTATGTAAAATATTTAGCATGCTGCATGAACAAATATATGACTACAGTTTGAAATTGGAGAAACCAAGATTACTCTTGAAATATATGTACCTTATTTTATCACCAAAAAAATGGTAGTATATAATTTTCAGGATTAAAATTCATAGATGACTATTTTTGTGTTATTTCAGATGTCTGATTACGTTCGTATAGCTGGAGCAGTATTGCTGCCTCATGTTGGTGGAATCCTCGGAGGATTTGTCACCAAAAACAATATCCCTACTTGGTTTGAGGTATAACTTGTGTTTTTGAGAATCACAGTAACAGGTGCTGTTTTGTTCTTAGATTTGTAACAATTTAATTTTCCATTGCTTGTAATTAGGCTGAGATTAAAAGTGTGTAATAACTTCTCTAAATTTCATTTGATTTTCATGAATCCTTTCAGGAAGACTCCAGTTAAGATTGACATTAAATTAATTCTAATGATACATGAAAGTTCATATAATAAAATTGCTGCATTTTGTGTGATCTTTCATTACTGTGCGATAAATTACCAAAATATCATCAAATGTTCATATTACTTATTCAGAAAACATTGAAGGAAGACTGATATAAACTTAAGTTAAAAGTTAAACTTACTCTGTACACAGTTAATAAGATTGCTTCATTCTGACTGGTCCACCATTCAACATGAGGCCAACATTAGGAACATTTTCCCTGCCTTTTTGCCTACCATCACCAATATTGTCCATGGTTTGTTGTCCGCCTGAACAATTCTCCCTATCGCTATTTCTCAACAAGTACAAGATGTATCTCTCTCAAATTTTATTGATAGATTCCCCTCGGTCCTTTGTTGTGCATGTTACATTTTGAAACTGATTGGAAAAACAAGAAGGCCACCAGGCAGCCATCTTGAATTTTGACCGGTGAAGTTGGTTATCACTATTTCTAAAGAAGCACGTCAAAGATGTTTCCCAAATTTCAAATGTAGGTTCTCCTTGTACTGAAAGGAAAATCAAGTGTATTGATGAGTATAAAAAAAAGACTTAAGTACCCCGTTTTTATACGCCTGTCAAATTTGGTATACATTATAATCATGATATGAAGTTGTGTCTCCTTTAAAAGAATTTTGATTCGACGATTTTTGCAAAAGTTATTGCCCTTTGTTCATTTCAGTATTTGTTTTTTTGTCCGGAGATTTTCTCCTACTTTTTTTATAGCATGTCAGCTAACCACTCTTAGAATGATGCAGAGAGATCTTATTTCAATGTAAGAAAGTATATAACACTATATGGCATTCGACGGGCGTATATTGTTCCGCCCCGCGGTATTCTTGTAAGATGTTAAACAAATACAAATGACTGAAGTAGTAAAGAATTCTTCCTTTGTTTTAAAAGCATCTGAAGTTCCCTACTTGGCGCCCCCCAAACTGGGTGTTTGGACCAATGTGGACAACACTGTACACAGGGATGGGAGCAGCATCTTACCTGGTGTGGAGGGACGGGGGAGGCTTTGCTGGTGATGCAGCCATGCCTTTAGCACTGTATGGAACACAGCTTGCACTCAACTGGGCCTGGACTCCTCTCTTCTTTGGATGCCACAAGCTTGGTTTGGTAGGCTTTTCTTCTGTCCCTTTATTGACAGTTGTACAACTTACAGTGTTTAAATCCATATCGCTGTACATACCAGAACTATGTGATTTCTACGCATGCATGAGTTCAAAAGATTGGAATTAACTGAGCATGAATATGTGAAGTGAACACTCATGTAGGTAAACCAACAATTGAACTAACAAATTCTCCAATAAAATAAACTAGGTAAAAGTTTTTCAACTAAAATTTTAACTTTATTGGTTCAAAGCTTATTGATAGTACCCCAAGTTCCCCTGTCTGATCACACAGGTTTTTCAGTATGCTCCAGTTTCCTCCCACTTTAAAATGAGTCAATAACAGTTCTAAATTAACATATATTGGCCCAACTATGTTAGGCTTATTTACAGTATAAAAATGTACACGGTTTTAATTATGTTTTCTGATGCTTTCCCCGAATGTAATTCTAAACAGAAGCATTTCTATATTAGAAAATATGTTAAAGGAAAATTGAAGAGTTTAGTTAACGTTATACAAAGTCTTCTTCTTATCGTTCGCCGTTACACTTGAATACCAGTCTCCTCAACAAATCTGGTGGTCTTCTGTAGGGCATCCACTGATCCATATAGCTTCTCTTTGAGTGGTGTTGGTGAATGCCATATCTGATCTCTCAGTGCCATTATGACACTTGTTATACAAAGTTATTTGTGGGGTATTCTGGAATTATGATATCCTCCATCTGTCCATCTGTCTGTAGACACGTTCCTATCGGTACAACTGCAGTTTTCAGCTGAATTTCATGGAATTTGACTGATTTAGTCAATATTCTCAAGTTGTGCGCCTGCGATTAATGTTTTGATCCCAACATTATTATGGGAATGAATTCTCAACTGAATTTTGAAATTTTGTACACATGTATATATCATGTGTAATGATATGCTTGTGATTTATTTCTGATTTCCAATATTTCTTAAGAGTGATGCCCCTTTTCTGATGGTATACTGCTACTTTTGCTTCAGTTAGCCTGTGACTTACAGTTCTAGTTTTATTTTGATTATAAAGTGTTAAATGAGAATGTGATATAGTAAATGTATTCCAATGATCACATATGTTGTATTAATTACAGGCACTGGTTGAGATGGGATTTCTGTGGGGTGGCATTGCCGCAACCACTTACGCCTTCTTTCCCATCAATAGAACCGCCTCCTACTTAATGCTGCCTTATTTGGCCTGGGTGACCTTTGCTGCATCCTTGAACTTCAGTTTATGGAAGCTTAATAAAGACAGAAAGGATTAAGATTGTATGGAAAACAAAAAAAGAAGACCAACATTTTACTGTAAAGGAATACATTGTGGACACTGGAAGAGCTTCATACTTAGATGTGAGAAGGCTTTGATGTGCAAAAGCAAAAAATATTTCCAAAATGTGGAAAAAATAGTACATGATGTTCAGCAGAATATTTCGAATGTTGCTTTTTTGACCGAACAATGTGAGAGGAACATGTTCCTAACCTATTTTATAGGAAAACCGGAAAGATATTAAAGTTATTTTATGCACATCTACAAGAGAACAATTTTTGAAAAATATGATATAGTCAGTGGTGCGATAGATATATATGTATGTGTTCATATGCATCTTGATATGTTATAATGTTCATCTTTACTTGCTATCTAATTTCCTGTACAAGTGATTGTCATATTTGTCTTGATAATTTATACCAGTTTTCTTTTTTTGTAAATTTTTAATCTCCATATTTCATATAGCTAGTCTAGTCTTTTGTTTAATGCATTTAGAACCTACATCTATTTATATAAAAGTGGGACATTCTGTATGATATTAATATATAATGCATTTATTTTACAACAACTATGGAACAAGTTTTTTCAGCGTTAATTAATTCTTCTTGTTTGCCCGATTGGAAGTGTGCAGGGGTTTTTAATGTAGGAGGACACTGGAGTCGGGTAGGTGACCTATACATTTTCTTGTCAGTTCAGGGAGTTGAACCCTGGCTGTCTTGGTGAAAGACAAGTGTGTTATCCTATGTGCAACCTTGTCACATTATGTAAGGATATACACTAAGGGGTTTCCGTACAGCAGGGGGTGTTAACATTGGAGGGGTTTCCGTACAGCAGGACATGTTTACATAGTAGGGGTTTCTGTACAGCAGGGGGTGTTTACAAAGTAGGGGTTTCCGTACAGCAGGGGGCGTTTACATAGTAGGGGTTTCCGTACAGTAGGGGGTGTTTACATAGTAGGGGTTTCCGTACAGCAGGGGGTGTTTACATAGCAAGGGTTTCCGTACAGCAGGGGGTGTTTACATAGGTGGGGTTTCTATTACACTAGGAGGTATCTCTATAATGAAGTTCCTTGCACCAGATGTCCCTTAGTGTGTTCTGCATTTCCTTACATTTGGGGACATCCCTAGCATAAGGACATATACATGTTTCCTTATAACTAGGGGGTATCCCTATTGTTCAAGACTCCTTGTTTTAGGGGTTTGTAGGAGATTCCTTGTTTCAGGGGTTCTTCTTGTAGTAGGGTGTTTCTTTATAACAGGGGTATCTCTGTTGTAGGAGATTACTCGTTTCAGGAGGTATTCTTGTACAATATATGAGAGCGTTTCCTTGCAACAGGTGCTTTTCATATTGTAGGCAATTCCATATTTCAGGAAACATTCTTGTAGCTGGGTGTTTCTCTGCAGCAGGGGGTTTCTCTTTTGTAGGAGATTCCTTGTTGTAGGCGATAGATACTCTTGTAGCTTGTTTTTTTTCAACCATGGGTATCCCTTTTAGGAGATTCCTTTCTTTTATAATTTTATTCTTGTTGTTAGGGGTTACCATGTGACAATTGGTGTCTATTAAATAAAGGAGTACACTGCATCAAGTGGTTTCCTTATAATAGAAAACTTCCCTATGGTAGGTTTCTCCTACAGAGCCAGCCCCTCCTCACTTCAAAGGCAAAATGTTAAGAGATCATAAAGATGCTATAGTCATTATGCTAGTTTTCCTGTGAAATTTGCATTAATGAATTAAGCTAGCAAATTTGTATCTAGTTTTGATGCTTATTTTTATATCAAATTATTTTTTTGGTCTTTTTCTAGACATTTTCTTTACCTCACATATGTAACACCATCGTATTAATTTGAATTTAAGTTTTTGCTTGAGAAGAATGAAAGTGCAAAGTGCAAAATTTACTGTAGTATTTTATTGTGAGATCCCATAGCTGTTTTCATTCTACCTAGTCTATATCTGATTTACCACATGTTACAGTACTAGATCTACATATTATACAGGTGGTCTTTATTCAATGTTATTGTGATATATACTTCAATAAAAATATAACGGAGTATAAGGGCATTTATATTTATTTCAACAGTAGCATATAGTCCTAATGTATGGCTCTCATTACATATGTCACATTAAAAACAAGTTGAACAGATTAATGAACATTCACACAAAACTTTTACCTCATTAATATAAACTTTATCTTGGAGTAACTAAACTTTCTCTTACCATGGACAGGGATATCCACCATTTTACCGATGTGAGATTTTCTTTTCTCTTACCCTGGACAGGTGTATCCGTATTTTTACCGGTGTGAGATTTCCTTGTCTCACCCTAGGGTTGAGACGGGGGGATTCCCCTATTCCTAACAATGGCATGACGTCACTTTAACAATACAATGACGTCACGTCAACAATCCATTTTGTCACATCAACCCTTAATTTAGCATGTAACGTTATCATTACATTGTGCATATGATACACAATGAAAGAACAGGGTAAGAGAAAAAGAATCATTCACCCCCTTGTGGGTGAGATAGTGGAATCTCAACCCTCGGGGAAAGATTCTTTAGTTGCCAAACACTCGGCAAAGCCTCGTGTTTGGCAACTTAAGAATCCTCCCCCTCGGGTTGAGATTCTCCTATCTCACCCCCAAGGGGGTGAAAGATTCTATTAATCTCACCCTAGGGTTGAGACAAGCTACACATGTTCTTTGCACATTCTCAACAATTGTATGACGTCACAGCAACAATACCATGACGTCACGTCGACAATTCAGCCGCATCACGTCAACATTGTCTTGCATTGATGTAACGTCTATAAAAAATACATAAGAGGGTAAATAGGGTAAGAGAAAAATAATCATTCACCCCCGTGGGAGTGAGACGGGGTATAAGATTCTATTAGTCTCGTCAAAGGATACACATGCATAAAAAAAGGGATCCCAGTACTTATAAATCTGGAATAAGTCCCTTCTTACCAGACACAGAGATTCCTGTGATTGGTGGCTTTTTATCCTGTTTATCTTACTTGGGTAAGTTAATTTTGAATTTGAATGTAATATGATTTTCCCCATTTGATTATTTCACAACTTTCTCTGCCATTGTACAGTTACTTGTGCAGTATGTAAAACTTCTACATACATATATGCAATGTGCATTTGCCAATGAACTGAATTGAAATTGAAATACAACATTTAACAGGAGTTCGATAAACATGATAAGTAACAATCACAAGTTTGAAAACCCTTTGATACTATAACATTAATTACATGCCAGGAATGTTCATATATTACACATAAGTTGCATTTTTGATCAGGTAAAAGAGATCATTTAACAATGGTAACTAGACACGGAAAATAACCTTTTAGTGTAATGGAAGTCTAACCAAGGTGTATAGATTGACTAACAGACCAGGCTGACACAAACACCCTCTCCAGTATTGTATATGACGGGGACATTTCACTATACATGTTACATGTAACTACCAGGNGGGTCGATCAGAAATCCAATATGGCCACCACGGCTGCCATTTTGGAAAACTATTTCAAACTTAAAGTAAAGATCTACTTGGCCGATTGAACTGAAACTTTGTAGGAATGATCGAATCATGGTCCTGACAAAGTGTTGTTATTTTTCGGGTCAATCAGAAATACAATTTGGCTGCCATGGCCGCTATTTTGCTACTAAGTTCTAATAGGCCGATCTCACTTAAAATTGGTCTAGGAATGATCAGCTCATGGTCCTGACAAAGTTAAGTTAACATTATACTATTTTTTACTCAAATTGGTACATATTTCAACAACAAAAATAAATACTATAGACTCAGGTGACCGTTAAGGCCCATGGGCCTCTTGTTTTTTATTAAGTTATGAGAGGTTCTTTGTGTTGCTGGCGGATCTTGTCATCCGCTGGTTAACTTTACATCTTGTAGAAATATCGCTCCCTCCGTTGCCCTGTACTGTACAGTAATCTCAATGCTGTCCATTTTTGATGATAGCTTGCACTGATTTAAAACAGGCATACCTAAAAAGTCAGAAAAGATATTATAGAAAACATATAAAGCCATAAATGATCAGAAATGAATAGTACCAATGTGATAATGAAGAATTACTTTCCTTCCATCATTTATGCTTACCTTCAATCTGCACTGCTGACAACCTAAATTTCTCCAGGATACCTGGATGTATATCATGGCATTCATGACACCCAACCACTAGCTGACAAAGTTCCCTTTCACTGTAATTATCAACCATGAAGGTGTGAGAAACAGACTTCAAACCTGATAGTGTAGAACAATTTGTTACATCTAAAATATAACTGTAAAGCTGACAATGCTTAACCTTGTTATATTTTTTGTTTTAGACACTTAGAAATCCACTAACAATCTACCCCTTGAAATACTTCCAATGCATGAACGATTACTGTCAATCCTAGCTATAGTATTAAAGTATGGAGGTGCATACACAGTAGATGAATACTTTTTATGTCCACTTTTGTACACAGAGGAAACAAGACACCCCCACCTCCCACTCTGATTCCACAAATAGGGATCCACATTAATTGCTCTTATAATACAGGGGATCATATGATCAGAGGTGATTGGTTATCCAGGACATAGTGTAAATATATGTCTTTATTCTAGTACATGTACTTACTTTCTAGAGCTAATAAATGTGACTGTATCAAGTAGCAGAGCACACATTTTAGCCAGTCCATGCTCTCCTTTCTTCTCCTGGAATTGACAATGCCATGATTCAGTACACATGAATGAACAAAAAGTAAATCATTTTATTTTCAACATTTGTGGTCTTACTATTTTTAGCCACCACATTTTTTATGTGTAATAATTGTAATATGTCCTTGTCATTCATATTGGCTGTTAACCTTTTACAATTAAGACCTTTTACAATTAAAACTTAAAATACACTTCATTAATTTTGCTGAAACTTGCAGGAAATGATTTGTACCAATTAATTGTTTTTGTTTTCAAGCTGATTTGACACCACAATGGATGACATCTTGGAAATTTGTTTTTCAAATTCTGTTGGACAGATAGTGTTGAAACTTGGAATGAACAGTATTTGGTCCTGAACAATTATTTGTTCTCTGCGTTAATCTGGAACCAATATGGTCTTATCACATGCCATCTAAATATATTAGATAACTGAAGTACTTGATTACTTCAAAATGGAATNACAAAGAACTAATGAAGATGGTACAAAGGTGGGCGCCAAGATCCCTCTGGGATCTCTTGTTGTATACATTAAACTTAAGAATATTGTTTGAATTGATGAAAGAATTTTCGAATACAATATTACAGCTCATAACAAGAAGCCTTGGAGAGGCCTGAAAGCTCAGATGAGTTAAATAAAAAACGTCTCCACCAATTAGAGGCCATGGTGGCCATCTTAGATTTTCGGATCTACAGGAAATAGTTACAGTGTCCACAATCACTGTCCGGCTCCTCTGACAGTATGTGGATAGCTCACCTTTACTGACTTGGACAATTAATGGCTGTAAACCAGAATCTTTTATACAGAGAATTAGGGTCAGTTGATACAACATGTTAAAGGAGATGACATCAAACTAACTTCAACTTGAAAATTAATGTGACTATGGTAAGTTACATGCATATCTTTTGGAACAGACCAACAGTTTTTCAGTAATTCAGAATTGTAGAGATAAAGAGAAGGAATTTAAAGTCTTGTTATTTGAATGTAGAAATTGTTTATGTTGGCTGAATGTCAATGCAAACTAATAAGAAGTGTTTAACTGTAAATGGCTTGTGACATGATATGTAGTGAGGCTGGGCTTTGCGCCTCGACCATCAAAGTGAAAACATATATACATTGTACATATTCACTGTAAAACTAGCTGTTAATAAAAATTTAATCATAAAGGATTTAAAGAGTTCAAATAAGTGTTTCTACTGTAGATGTCTTTTAATGTCATATTCCTGAAATAACAATATTCTTATTTAAATGTTGCAATAATATTTCATAATCTTCATCAAATTCTCGAAGAATGATCCAAAATATAATATTTTGGAGGCAACATTTTATTGATACTTTATTCAATCAGTTACTCTAATATTAGTTTATATAAGAGTTGCTTCCCTTCCTATGGAACAGTTCCGATTTCCACCAACTTAAACTCATTTCTAAGAGGGGCCCTATGTTTCGCATCATTGATTGTGTGTAGATACTTTAACAGTGGTATATGCAGTGTTAAAATTATGCATCATTACCACGTGCAGCATCAGTGAACATGTGTGGATAGGTTACCTTCCCCAAAGAATGCTTAAAGCTTTCATCCTAGTAATGGTCAAGATTATTCACCATAATGGCGATAACTTAATTACATGTCCTAAATATATAAGATCATTCAGAATTATGTGAACAATTTACTGTTGTAAGTAACAGATAAGATCATTCATCATTACATCGATAGCTGACCTGTCCTAAGTAATGAATAATATCATTCACCATTTTATGGATAGCCTACTTACCTGTCCTAAGGAACACTCAAGAATGTACATCAATACATGAATGCTTACCTGTCCAAGGTAATGGTTAAGATCGTCAACCATTATGACATCTGGCATCACTGATCGTGTGTGGATAGAGGCACAGTAATTAATTAACTCCTCTATGCTCATCAGGTATCTGTAAGGTGAACCAATGCATTTGAAGATTTATTCAATGTAATGGCTATTACCTTTATCTTTATTTGTACATCATCTAAACAAACTGCATGACAGGAAAACAATAATGCATTTCAAGTTTTTGACATATGATTGTTTTAAAATCCCAAAATCTAAAATACATATGGACATATAACTTAATTTTTCTCCAGATACAAATTATAAGAGATATGGAAACAGATCGTAAATGTTTAGACTCCACAGTCTTACTGAAAGTGAACATGTTGGAGAATGTTTGCCTCAGGTTTTGGCATGCCATGGACACCACTTGGAATTTTGTCAAGAGGATGAGGACAGATGAACACCACTGTAAAATCTTTGGCTCCACAGGACACTGCTCCCTGAAACAGCAGGCTTGTGATATCACTGCAAAGACATTTGAATCAAAGGATATTTATACATGTTTTAAAGTAATTTTCTTCAATAGGAAATAGGCTTATTTTAACTGAACAGTTTCATTTGGCCAAGATTAAAATAATTACAGAGCTCACATACTTTGTTAAACATGTGATGTCTTCAACGAAACTTTCATATATGTGTAAATGTATTTTTTTTAAACATTGGAGTCAGGTGTAGAGGATCATAAAGATCCTGTATCGGAAAATTAAACTCAACTTAACTTAAAATTAATCTCTTAATTGTTACTTGCAAATACCTATCTATTCCAAACTATCATCATAATTTTGATCTCCAACTCGAATGAATGAAAAACCAAAATGATTAAGCGAATTAAGTCAAGTTAAACCTCGGTCACATTTGCGCCGATTTCCGAAAAGGCGCCCGTGCGATAAGTTTTTTTGCATATTTGCCAACTCTCCCTATTTATGAGGGAGACTCTCGATTTTGGGCCCCATAATTGCGCATTTTCAACTAGTGATTTGCTTAACTCTTCTTTTATTAGCTCCCCTGGTCCAAAGGACAAAGGTGAGCTTATGCCATACCGTGGCGTCCGTCGTCAGTACGTACGCCAACAATTCCTTTAAACGACTTCTTCTTCCTAACCACTGATTGGAATTAAACTAAATTTGATTGGAAGCATCCCTAGGTGGTGGGGATTCAAAATTGTACAATTGGTTGGGCTGACCCACCAGGGGGCTGAGGGGCAGGGTCAAAAGGGGGCGATTTGGCTATATTGCTTTAATTGACTTCTTCTCATGAACCAAGTGATGGATATCAACCATATTTAAATGGAAGCATCCCTAGGTGGTGGGGATTCAAAATTGTACAAATGGTGAGGCGGAGTTCCCAGGGGGCTGAGGGCGGGGGCAAATAGGGGCAATTTGGCTATATTGCGACAAACGACATCTTCTGTAGAACTATTCACTGGATATCAATCATATTTGATCAAAAGCATTCATGGGAGGCAGGGATTCAAAATTGTACAAATGGTGAGGCGGAGTTCCCAGGGGGCTGAGGGCGGGGCCAAATAGGGGCAATTTGGCTATATTGCTACAAACGACATCTTCTGTAGAACTATGCACTGGATATTAACCCTATTTGACTGGAAGCATCCCTAGGTGGTGGGGATTCAAAATTGTACAAATGGTTGGGCTGAACCCCCAGGGGGCTGAGGGGCGGGGCCATAAAAAAGGGTTATTTGGCTTTATTGCTTTAAGCGTTTTATTCTGTAGAACTATGCACTGGATATCAACCATACTTGACTAGAAGCATCCCTAGGTGGTGGGGATTCAAAATTGTACAAATGATTGGGCTGACCCACCAGGGGGCTGAGGGGCGGGGCTAAAAGAGGGCAATTTGGCTATATTGCTATAAACGACTTCTTCTGTAGAACTATTCACTGGATATCAATCATATTTGATCAAAAGCATTCATGGGAGGCAGGGATTCAAAATTGTACAAATGGTGGGGCTGACCCCCCAGGGGGCTGAGGGCGGGGCCAAATAGGGGCATTTTGGCTATATCGCTACAAACAACTGCTTCTGTAGAACTATGCACTGGATATCAACCATATTTGACTGGAAGCATCCCTAGGTGGTGGGGATTCAAAATTGTACAAATGGTGGGGCTGTCCCCCCAGGGGGCTGAGGGCGGGGCCAAAATGGGGCAATTTGGCTATATTGCTATAAACAACTTCTTCTGTAGAACTGTACCATGGATATCGATCATATTTGGTCGGAAGCATCCATGGAAGGCAGGGATTCAAAATTGTACAAATGGTGGGGCTGACCCCCCGGGCTAAGNAAGTGTTATCTCCCCTACGCAATGGTATTCTTTGTCAAATACAATTTCGTGCATTAGTCAAATGTAACTTACCATTTTTCCTTATGTTACTCTATTGAAATTAAAAACGTTTGACAGCGAATAATCACTTTGTACAATATCAAAATGAGCCGTACCAAAAAGATGTTGTTTGAGGAAAAAAAAAGTGATGCTTGCAGGACTCGAACCATCGAAGCGAAAAACGTCGATAGCCGTGTAATAGTAAGACCTGCCGGTTTAACCCACTACACCACTACATTAGTTATGGATGGATGGATGACGGGTTTCGCGCCTACATGAATCTNGGGTCTGACTGAACCCCTTGGGACCTAGTTTCTTAGTCACAGCTTGAAAACCGTTGAGATCCCGACCCTATAACCATATATACAATTGCTGATTATAAAGAGACGAATGCACATATGCTTCCAGGATGGCCTTGGGATCTGCCCCACCCTTGGAGACTTAACCCCTGGATCATATCTTTGAAACGGTTGAGATCCCCACCCCAAAACTATATATACAAATGCTGGGCAAAAAGAGACAAATCCAGTCATGATATTAGAATTGATCCTGGGGTCTGGCCACAACCCTAGGGACCTAGTTTCTAAGTCACAGCTTGGAAACAGTTTAGATCCCCACCCCTAACCATACATAAAATTGCTTGGCATGAAAAATCTAATACCGATATGCTACAAGGATTGACCTTGGATCTCATTTGGAAAATATTTTGCCATGATTGCTTAGATATCCAGGTGAGCGATACAGGCCCTCTGGGCCTCTTGTTCTAAAATCTACTGATTTTCTCTGGAAGAACAACTCAAACAGTGCCATTCAAAAGTGTTCTTTTTCCCCTAGAGTGTACATACACATATTTTATCTATACATTTTATTCTGAGCACACATTATCTCCCCCATGGAAATTTCAAAACGTTGGCAAGTATGTTCTTGGCCAAAATCAGCCAGCAAGCCGGGAAACCCTAAGGAGGCTGGGTGCTGGGAGATTATCGGCCACTTTTTAGATGCCACATGGGTCGCCGGGAGCACAAACTCATCGGAACCTAACCTAACTGGCAGTCTCCTGTAAGTGTTCCACAAGGATTTCGTAACATTATCTTACGGCTCCCGGTGGCATCATATGGTCATCTTGGGTGGGTTTGTACAATTTTACATGCTCCCAGGTGTCCTGTAGACTGCCCGATGTGGTGCCGTACAGCAATCGTAATGTAGCCGCCCAATGTCCTCAAACTGCAGTGTCCATGGCATATCCACCCCGATATACAGACGGATATTGGCTAATTCTTCTGGCACCCGGATGGCACACAAACAGGCATATGCAGGCACCATTTTCTCACCGATGAGCTAGGTACAAAACCAGACAATTCGGAATAGTTTCAGAATCTGCTGAAAGTTTTTGCAAGTCCAGAGTTTTAAAGTGCTGAAAGTATTTGAGAGTTCACAGTTTTACGGTGAAAGTTTTGGTGTTGACTTGTGTGCTTCCCTAAATATACATGCCATATAAAATGCGAAATAGCGTACTTAAGTACGTACCTATCCCGCCTGTCAAAGGACTGGCTGCATGAACATCTTCCGGCTACCGTACGACAGCCTGGCCATCGTCAGAAAGCCTTGCGGTATTCTTGCGATAGTCTTACAGGCTCCCTATGGTATCTTTCAGATGTCCATTCGATTTAATCCGGCAAATTATTTGCAGGGGCCGTGCTGTGCCCATATCGAATGTGATCATACTCACGACAAATCCCACACATTGGAAAAAAGTCCCCAGCGCCGGGGAAGCAGGCCAATTCCTACTTCCTGGCCGGCAGCCGGCGCAAATGTGACTGAAGCATTAGTCAGCATGCTTGCTGTACAGAAGTCCTGATGTTAAAAGAAACTCTGTCAAATATATACCGTGTGTATACGTAGTGCACCCACAGAAGATTGGATTGACCTTGGTTGAATACTCATGACCAAGGTCCTATATGAGTCCTGATATATAGTTGGTTGAATATCTGTTTTTATCCCATTCTATGTACATTTCATTTAACTGTTTGGAATTTTTCAGCGATGCATATTGTTGGTTATAGAGATTGGCTATGACCAAAAATCAAATTGAACTTATATTTATTTTCCTTCTTTGGCTAACTAAAATTTCAATTTCAGGACATTCCTTTAACCTGACTGAACACATTTTTACAAGTTCAGTTAATAAAATTAGGTAGAGTCTGGCACACCACTAAGACCCCTATCATGCTCTCAGACCAACAAAGGTGATTAATACACATGTAACAAGTAATTGAACATTTTGTTTCATAACTTTTGAAAAAGTTCTAAACAAATCCCACCTCAAAGTAACAAATAACCTGTTTTAGTGGATCTGGATTCAATTGTGCCTTTTGAACTAATTAAGTTGCATGTTAGGTGTCTGTCTGAAGTTTGGAGGCCATTAATTTAAATCATGGTAGAGAACAAGTTAATTTGTCTTAACTGGTACCTGTCTATATATTCCTTTTCATTGATCATTTTATGGAGATCTTTTCTAATCCAAACTGTCAACTCTTGAAACTGCTGTTGTTTTTACCAATCTTAAAGCTTTTCATTCCAACTTTCCATTTTCCTTGGAAGGCTATCCTTTCAAAATTGCTTTTTAGGATGCAATTTTTTCCCTTTCATTGTAAACTATTGTATACCATTAAATATTTTCTTCATATCAGTGTACTAGGAAGAAAAGTAGTGAGCTTCCATTAGCAACTGAATTTGTGACCGCCACCTTCTCAGTCCATCGCTCTTCCTATTGAGCTAACGGAAAATTACCAGGAACTCAAAGCTAAAAGGTGAATGTAAGAATATATACAACTAAAACCTGCAACACTCCCACTACTCTTTTAAATGTGTTCGTCCCCAAGGGCTACTAAATCCTAGGTTCTAACTCCCTGCCACTCCAGGTAGCTCGAGTCAAAGACATCATTTGTAACCGAAAAGAGAGTGTATTGCTTGAGTTTCAATAAGGGATCAAACCAGATGACCCAAGCTACCCAGTCTGCTATACTCTACCTATAAAGCTAAAAGGAAATTCCCATTAGTTGGAATCAACATTTCAAATAAATTTTTAATGTACATATTCATGGCAGAAATGGACTGGGTTGATCACAGATGACTAGGTAGCTAAATTGGTTAGGGCGTCCCTCAAGAGTTTAGAGGTCCTGGTTTTGAATCACATTTTTAAACATAAACTTTATTTATTTTACAATAATTATGAAACAAGTTGTTTCAACTTATATTAATCACTCTAGTTGGCCCAGATGTAAGTGCACTGGGGTCTTATTGTGGACGGTTTGTTCGTTTATGAAATGAGGTTGAACCTAGTAATATGGTGGTGCTTTCAGATGAGCCTTAATTAACTATAAGCCTTACAAGACCTGCATAACATTTGCAGGTCCGCTAGTATTAATACCCGAAATGTAACATTTAATAACAGACAAACCGTTCGTTCCACATAAACAAACAGGTCCTGGGAGTATTCCGTCTTTTCGTATTGAAGAGTTATCTTCTCTTGTGAGAAGGCATTGATTGTTACGTCATTGGTTTATGAGATTAACATCATCATTTTTTGAGAAAACGACATACTTTTCTCACACAAACCAATGACGTAACAATCACTACCTGCTCACAAGAGAAGATAACTCTGCAATAGGCAAAGAGGGAAAACTTGCCAAAAGATTACATGAACCAGGGTTATAAGTTGTGCTAAAGCTAATACTAAGAAAAAGATGGCCCCACATTTTTCCTTTCCTTGAAATATATATATTAAAAAAACGTTGAAATCATATACAGTATATCCTTCTGCTTTCAATTTCATGGTAATGTTGGTTGGGACTAACTCACACATTTCCATGGCCAATGAGGACTAAATGCGGGAAATGGGATCGATCCGTTCGAGCTGTTTGTAGAATTTCATCACAGCCTTTCTTTTTTTCTGATCGGTTACCATCATCAACATCATCTTTTGTTATTTGAAGCCATGATGATGTAAGTGGGAACATGTGACAAAGCATTTCCATTGCAGATGACCGTGTAAATATAATGTGATGGAATGTACATAATGATCACACGTCAAATTCTGGAGACATGGAACATGAATTGTCCGCGGACATCATTACAATAAATTGTCATGCTAATCTCAAAGGATATAATGAGATATAATGTTTTTCTTATATCAACCGGCGAAAATATGAATGTGTGTGCGGATAATCTTGTAAATAAATCCGTTTCTCAATATAGTTGCATTGCACTGGAGTTCGTGTTTACCGCTACTTTACCGTCTTCTACAATTGGAGAGTTCCTACGGTTGATAATCTTACGGATTTTATTTTGAACATGTACAAACGACATAATACTTCTGTTATGTCCTAAATTATGGCTATGACAGACATGTATTTTGTTTTCGGTTACATTAAGATAAGAAGTCTTTCTAAAGGCCAGTCCAACTAAACAATACCCTTATTTAGGCATACTATGATACTCTAATTTAACAACAGACGAACAGTTTTAACTGATGTATTTGCTAACGTGGTACTGTACTGTGTCTACAGTACTGACTAAGAAAAGCAGGTGGATGTGTATAATAATAATAATAATAATAATAATATCTTTATTTAAGGAGGGTTACATATTTAGTACAAGACTAATCTTCCATATGGCCCTCTCAAACATCATACAGACATGTAAACTGACATTAAAACAGATTATTATGCTAACTACAAAATCATGGATCAGCATTCTTTCCCTGAGGAATACAGTTTTAATATAATTGAGCATATGTATATGTACATCAAAGTACAAGGTAACAATACGTTCACAGAAACTTTGTAAATTTTGACAGTTACCTGTGTGAATAACATTACTCATTTAAATATAGAGATAGCAGAAACAAACTGTGGTCGTGTTTTTAATATTGACCGGTAAATTATTCCACAGCATTGCTCCAGTGTAAGTAAATGACTTTTTGAATAATTCAGAATTTGGTCTTGGCAATATTAGATTTTGTTGAGATGTAGATCTTAATCCATATCTATACGTGTCAGTACACATATTTAGACCAGCTTTAATGTAATCAGGTGCCATGTCATTTAAAGATTTGTAGACTAATATACATGTGTGGTATTTTACTCTGAATGTGAATGGCAGAGTATTATTTTCCTCAAAAAGGCTTTTACTTGGTGTTAACATAGGGAGATTTAAAATAATACGTAGAGCTTTTTTTTGAATTTTTATAATTTGAGTGGTTTGCTCTTTTGATAACCCATTTCCCCACACAATAGCTGCATAGTCGAGTATTGGGAGAATATACGAGTTATAATAAACTTTCCTGGCTTCTGTAGTCAGATATCCACTCATTTTTCTAAGTAATGCAACGGCAATTGCCAATTTGGAAGACACCTTTTTTACCTGGGTTGTCCAACTAAGATTTTCTTCGATATATATGCCCAATACCTTTTGACAGGACAACGACATAATTTCTTCTCCATTTACATACAGTTTTAATGGACTTTGAATGGAGAGTTTATGCTTATTTGCAATGATCATACTAGTAGTCTTTTGCTGGTTAAGTTTCATGTTGTTATTTGTACACCATCTCAATACATGATTCAGGTTCTCCTAAAGATTTGTGGCAATATCAATAGAGTTATTTCCCTTTACATGCAGGGTACTGTCATCTGCATACATGTATATCTACAAGGCATTTTTTTTTTTACATAAAGTGGCATATCATTAATATAAATAATAAAAATTAATGGACCAAGTATGGATCCTTGCGGTACTCCAGCTTTGATTGTCTGGAAAGAAGAAGAACTGCTGCCTGCTCTAACTGTTTGGACTCTGTTTTGTAGATAAGATGAGAACCAATCCAGACTTGATTAAGTCATGTTTAAAAATCTTTAGTTTGTGTAGAAGGATATTATGATCTACTAAATCAAAAGCCTTATTTAAGTCTATAAATATAGTACCTACTATTTCATTTTTATCAATACTGTCAATCCATTTATCAAATAGGTGGACAAGAGCAGTCTGACATGAAAGTTTTGCCCTAAAACCTGACTGTTAAGTGTGTAACAGGTCATATTTCATTAAGTATTTATAAAGATGGTTTGTAATATGTTTCTCAAATATTTTTGACAAAGTGGACAATATAGATATGGGTCTATAATTATTCATATTATCTTTAATATCACCACTTTTATGTAGAAGTGTCACTCTTGCTTCTTTTAGGAAGATGGGAAACATGCTTGGGATATACTGAGGTTTATGATGTGTGTTAGATAGGGCGTGATAATATGTCTACATAATTTGATAATTTTTCGTCCAATTCTATTACATCCAGTGGCTTTTGTATCATAAAGTTTACTTATATATGTATCAACTTCTTTACAAGTTATGTAAAGAATACGGAACGGATTTCGTATAGATGATGTCCTATGTTGTTCCATTTCGATGTGATCAATACAATCAAATTCTTTCTTTTCTACTATGTTAGATACATTTACAAAGTGAGTGTTTAATTTTTCTATAATGTCCTGTTTGTCATTGGTGGTCGTGCCGTTATCACATTTAAGTTGAGTAGGGATAGGACCATGATCTGCATATTTTGACATGCTTTTAAGGTGTTTCCATAAAATAGCACTTGGCTTATTCTCTGATATTGCATTTTTGAACATATCCTTCTTTGCTTTTAAAATCATTGCACTGGTTTTATTCTCCAAAATCTGTAACTTGCCCAATCTTTTCTTTTATGATAAGTATCTCTTAAATTCCTTGCATTTGTTATTTCTCCATTAAACCATTCAGGTTGTTTGTTTCTTTTGACTCTTTTTGACTTGACAGGAGCATGTTTGTTAAGAATTTTCATAATAGATTTACTAAGAATCCAGCGAAGTATATTACTATGGCTTTATTTGTTTCTGTTGCATTTGGAGAAATTAACATCAGTTTTCATAAAGTCATTGAACAATTTATTTTGAGAAAGCTTTACTTTAAATCAGTTAAAATATTACAATACGGTTATCTAAGTCCGTGGTATAACTTACTGAGTTACTGTCGAGATTTCTAAAATGTTTTAAACCGTAACAAATATTTAAAACTACATGTCGTGATAAATAACTTGTAACATTATATATATATATATATATATAGGATCTACAGTCATATTATACTTCGTGTCCACCGCGCGTTCTAAATAGCAGACGATATATCCCGGTAAAATACGTACTCTTCGTTTGATTTACATTTTGTAATTTATAATAACCAACTCTCTACTTCCTCTTTCGTTCTGATTGGTTGATAATGACTTCATGTGGTAAAGTTTAGCTAATGACCTCATATTTATATATACGTCTTGATGAGTTTAAAATGGATATCTAGGACTTTTTTAGGCAACGTATTTTACCATGTCTTGAATGTGTACTCGGTGAACCCATTTTTGACCTCAAGATTGGGCCGTTAGCCCGAAACAGCAGACGAATCACCTTCCGAACTGCGGACAAAGTTGAAGTTTGTAGCAGACTGACACAGTTTCCATAGGTAATGTACAGTTGTACTACGATATGCACGTTTTTAGACCGGTGTCCTCGATTTGTTGTTAGATAAAACGCTAGCTCCCCAGCTCATATGGTTACCTGCCATGTATTCTCCCAACTGCCAAATTACACCCGTTATATGTTATACCGTCGTACTCCAGTTTCCAAGCTACACTGTATGGCGAGGAAACAGGTGTCTGTTTTTGATATACGACGATTCTTTACGTTATAATTACCAAATACATGTATAGCAGTGTAATATCCAAGAACTGATAATTTACACATTACACAAATAGTTATTTTGGAGTCACAGTTGGATTCTCACATGAACACATAAGTTGATCCCTGATGATTAATAAGATTTTATTTGACATACTAATAACGTTATTTTTTTTTATTTTTTTTTTCAGTTTTAATTTATACAAAAGATAAAACTTATTCCACAATGTAAATCATTCATTTATTTGATTAGAATGTTTGACATATCACAATTTAAATTGTGTAAGATACAAATGTAGATTATTAAGACATTTTAGTAATACCACAGACATAGATAATAATCTAATCTAATTCCGTGATAATACTATATATATATAGAAAATGGTTTTGTGTAAAAGACAATACAAGGATCCCTTATTAATCCTACAGGCTATATATATATGTATCACCATGGAAGTAATTCTTGACACATATCACTGATATTTTTTGACCTTATTCTTTTATTTGCATGACTATACAGTTATGTTTATAAAACAATTAGGTATTTGCAATACTACTTTATACTAATGAGATACATAGAAGATATTCTTAGTTTATTGATGAATTTAAACTATATTTCACTTGTTGGGTGAATACTTTGATATTTTCACAAGGGCATACGAATATTCAGCTTATGATTTTTTATACAAAAGATACAAAATATAAAGATGCGTTCCTGAATAGTTTTATAATTAACTTAAACCTAAAGTAAATCTAACATTTTATCAAACATTTTCTTGTCATGTTTCTACATTCTCAATTAGATCAACTACAGGTAACTATATTTTCTGATCTGTGTATTCACTCAAAAACACAAACAAGGCTTGTACAATATAAAAATCATGAGAGTGGAATTACTAAGGAAGACATGGAAGTTAAAAAGTAGACAATCATGACTTTCAGTCACAAAATTCATACATTTTTTTGGTAGATATGGTTATTTAACTCCAAATGCCAACTGAAATGGGTTTTTTTTCGTCATTATTTTTGCTACCCTTTACATACAAGTATATGGACAGCATCAATACAATAAAAATAAATAAAGTTAAGTATTGTTATTCTATAAACACTTAGTTCAGATAAGAACAATTTCCTACAAACAGATGCTAGTGGTATATACATGGAAATTGTGAGTGTATTCAGATTGACAACTTCAAATGTCAGGGAGGTTATTCTGTGGTATAGATTTGTCAACAATGCTTGGTTGGCTACTAGTATAGCTAGCTGTATATGAACAGTAGAAGTGTAATTGTGTTGATGTTAATATGCAGGCATGTATATGGATCTGGTAGTTTGTAATAAAAGAAAGAGCAGTGTTTTAACTAGTCCATACAAAAATGTGTACATACATGTGCTTGACGTTGAGTTATGATTCATATCTCCTGTAAAAAAATGGATACCCATAACCTAACTATGTTCAGTATGTTGTCATAAAAAAAAACATGATAACATTTTGAATACAAATGTCAGTGTTTATTACAAAGCAAAGATCATATTTAATGAACTATTGATAAAATATTATAAAATGAAATTTATTTATTTCATTCTATAGATATTTTAATGATATGTCAAATGGAATTTTAACCAATAAAATTATTTTGACATACATGTCAATAGTTTGTCTGCTGTATAAAAAATGTATCAATCATTCAAATGAGCAATATATTCTCATGATCATAGTTCACATGCGGATTGCCTATGGAACTACCACACTATACATACTTTGTATGTAACTAGCAATGTGTTAGTTGGGTCATTGTACGCATGTATTTAACACTGGAAAAATTGCAGAAATGTATACTGTAGTACATGTTCCTGGGTGAAGATATAATGTTTAAAGTGAAAGTCTTCCTTTCAATCAAGTTGACCAGAAGTAGAATTTATTGCAGCTGTTTTTGAGAGTGTTTTCCGTTTGGTATCATCTTCATATTTTTTATAACAGTTATGACTGCTAGCGTATATGGTATGTGTAGATACACCATATATCCGTCTTCACCCAATCAAGTACCAATGGTACCTGTTTTTCTCAAACTTATTGCCCTTCTTCTATTTAGTAATTTTAAGTCCAGTCCTATGTGACTATTTGATCTAAACCCCTAAAATGTGTAATATACTCTGACCACCTCAATTTAGGTCCAGATATAGCTGTAACAAATTCTCAGGTCCCTGTGTCATATTGTATAAAAATTGAGATAATTGATGTTAGAGATTTATTGATCACAACTTAACCACTTTGTGAATATATAGTTGTTAATTTCTTTTATAAAATTTTACCAGTGAAAGTATCAGGAATTCTCCATTTGATCAAAAACTTATATTTCACTGCCGTGAAGATGTATACAAAATGTTATATCTTCACATGCGAAGATATCACTATTTTTTGTCCAATCAGAACAGTACTTTCTGTCCACTGTAGATTTTCAATTTCATGAACATATGAAGCGACGACAGAATAAGTCATTGTTTTGGTATACTTTTGCCACATACATTATGGTAAATTTGCTTAACTACACAAGTGACATAATTTTTGTTTGGAAATCTTGCCAGATAACAGCAGCAAAATGGCAATCTACTTTGTTGTGATGACATTAGAACCAGGTGTCAAATATTATGATACCAGTTCCTGTACTATTCTTATGCAACAATATTGGTGTTATGTTAAATAAATAGAAAAATTAATGGTTTTCCGTTGAATACCTTGTATAGAAGAATATTCAAATAATCTGCCAAAGTCATGAAAAATATATGTTATTCAACAAGAAATCATTAAACATTTATTTATTTAACTGCTTGCAATAGCTTTATGTTTAATTAGGTTTATAACGTTCCCCGCAGGCTAAGAACTTATATTTGGTTTATGTAGATACTATTTTAAATTGGTTTGTAAAGCTAACATTTAGCTGGCAATTGTTTATAACAGGAACTATCATAATGAATTAATTTCACTGGGAAAATAATGATGGTTGTGAATTCTGATCTGACATAAATTAAAAAAAAAAATGTCTGTCCATGCTGCATTGTTGTGATGCCCATACGTAGGGTCCATGGTGTGTAGTCCTGGCTCAGCTGCACTATTTCGATGCCCATATTTAGGGTCCATGGTGTGTTGTGTAGTCCTGGCTCAGTTGCATCATTGCATTGTAATGCCCATACGTAGGGTCCATGGTGTGTAGGCCTGGCTAAGCTGCAATTTTTTGATGCCCCTATGGAGGGTCCATGGTGTGTTGTGTAGTCCTGGCTCAGTTGCATCATTGCATTGTGATGCCCATATGTAGGGTCCATGGTGTGTTGTGTAGGCCTGGCTCAGCTGCATCATTGCATTGTGATGCCCATACGTATGGTCCTTATGGTGTGTAGTCCTGGCTCAGCTGCATTATTTTGATGCCCATACATAGGGTCCATGGTGTGTAGTCCTGGCTCAGCTGCATCATTGTATTGTGATGCCCATACGTAGGGTCCATGGAGTGTAGTCCTGGCTCAGCTGCACTATTTCGATGCCCATATTTAGGGGCCATGGTGTGTTGTGTAGTCCTGGCTCAGTTGCATCATTGCATTGTGATGCCCATACGTAGGGACCTTATGGTGTGTAGTCCTGGCTCAGCTGCATTATTTTGATGCCCATACATAGGGTCCATGGTGTGTAGTCCTGGCTCAGCCGCACTATTTTGATGCCCATATGTAGGGTCCATGGTGTGTTGTGTAGTCCTGGCTGAGCTGCAATATTTTGATGCCCATATGTAGGGTCCATGGTGTGTAGTCCTGGCTCAGCTGCATCATTGTATTGTGATGCCCATACGTAGGGTCCATGGAGTGTAGTCCTGGCTCAGCTGCACTATTTCGATGCCCATATTTAGGGGCCATGGTGTGTTGTGTAGTCCTGGCTCAGTTGCATCATTGCATTGTGATGCCCATACGTATGGTCCTTATGGTGTGTAGTCCTGGCTCAGCCGCACTATTTTGATGCTCATATGTAGGGTCCATGGTGTGTTGTGTAGGCCTGGCTCAGCTGCATCATTGCATTGTGATGCCCATACGTAGGGTCCATGGTGGGTAGTCCTGGCTCGGCTGCACTATTTTGATGCCCATATGTAGGGTCCATGGTATGTTGTGTAGTCCTGGCTCAGCTGCATCATTGTATTGTGATGCCCATACGTAGGGTCCATGGAGTGTAGTCCTGGCTCAGCTGCACTATTTCGATGCCCATATTTAGGGGCCATGGTGTGTTGTGTAGTCCTGGCTCAGTTGCATCATTGCATTGTAATGCCCATACGTAGGGTCCATGGTGTGTAGGCCTGGCTAAGCTGCAATTTTTTGATGCCCCTATGGAGGGTCCATGGTGTGTTGTGTAGTCCTGGCTCAGATGCATCATTGCATTGGGATGCCCATACGTAGGGTCCATAGTGTGTAGTCCTTGCTCAGCTGCATTATTTTGATGCCCATATGTAGGGTCCATGGTGTGTAGTCCTGGCTCAGCTGCACTATTTCGATGCCCATATTTAGGGTCCATGGTGTGTTGTGTAGTCCTGGCTCAGCTGCAATATTTTGATGCCCATATGTAGGGTCCATGGTGTGTTGTGTAGTCCTGGCTCAGCTGCATCATTGCATTGTGATGCCCATACGTAGGGTCCATAGTGTGTAGTCCTTGCTCAGCTGCATTATTTTGATGCCCATATGTAGGGTCCATGGTGTGTTGTGTAGTCCTGGCTCAGCTGCACTATTTCGATGCCCATATTTAGGGTCCATGGTGTGTTGTGTAGTCCTGGCTCAGCCGCATCATTGCATTGTGATGTCCATATGTAGGGTCCATGGTGTGTAGTCCTGGCTCAGCTGCATCATTGCATTTTGATGCCTATACATAGGGTAGGGTCCATGTTGTGTAGTCCTGGCTCAGCTGCATGAGCTAGAAAAATGCTTCATCTTTCATATCAACCCTGGCTGGGTTTTCTGCCATGTGTATATTGTCACAAAGCAAATTTTTAAGTTTTCGTTGCAATTGCTTCATGCATTTTAGAATTCTGTATGAGTGTGCAAAGTGTATAATATCAATCTTTGGGCTATAGATCATACTGTGTGTGTACTGTGTAGATACATCAAGATAAGCCTCAGGCAAGCTGCTAAATCATATACGGTACTACTTCGGCTTTTTTAGCTTTGAAATCACTGCTTTCAATATAAGAAATAGTTGTGACTTTTAATTGTCATGATCAGCAGGAATATGCAGGATATACCTGTATTTCAGGCCAAACTTGCTCAATGTAATTCATATTGCCACATTCAAGTGCTTTTCTTGTTTTAAAACATTTTAACAGCTGTATGTACAAAAATTAAATAACTGCTAAGATTTGGTACAAACAAATATATACTCATATTTTTTTTTTTAAACTGCTGAAATAGTTACTGTACATGTTAAGAGAAAATGCATGCACCATCAGAGAAAATGCATTTACCATTCTTTTGCATGAACTATCTTTTAAAGATTAAGTTACATTAACCATCTTATAATAAGCTTTTAGCAGTGCTCATGACTATATATATATGTTTATATATCTTACATAATTGGCCTTCATATAATTCTTTTTGTATATACATAGTAGACTTTAATTTACATATTATCTTTATTTGACATATAAACTGATGAGATCATCATGATCATGAGAAGCACTGACAAACAACATCATGGTTTATTTTTTTTGTGCCATTTGAGTGCAAACAGGCAATAGTGGCGTGCTGATCAACAGTGAACATAGATCTCAGGTGCTTTATATTCTCTATCTACTGTACACAGCTCGCTGCCAATGGACAGGTGCTGTAGTCAGCTTGTCGAAAGTTCAATATCCAAAATTCAATATAAGCTCTTCAGTATCGGTGAGTCATCTGGACCCCGGGAACTCATTGATTGTGTACTGTGATGGGAGTAGCTCTCTAGCATAGGGTTTGCACAGGGCGATATGGCTTTATGTATTAATGGTCATTCATCCTGGCAAATTTGATTGGAGAGTACTGAGAAAATAGTTGTATCTGTTACTGCCTGAGCAGGACATCCATATAGTACTTGATTTGATGTTTTTTCCAAAGCTTTAAATGATGCAGAGCTTTCGACAATAAAAAAAGTTAACAAAAACCATCCCCATTTCCATTTCTATGCGACGTTTGTTTATTGATTTTTTTTCTGTTTTGCAGAACAAGTCGTTATGAAGTTTAAAGTCAGAAAGATTAAACTTGATGTACATCTTTTTAGGTAAGTGCAGAAGAATGCTTTCACATTTCCTGTTGAACTTTTTTGAATTCAGTAGATTTAGTTTCAATTCTTGCATTTATTTTATGTATCACAAACAAGACCTTGGACCCTGGAAAATAAATGACTTGTTCTTGTCAGGAAATGTTCTAGGTTTGGATGTCAATGCTGTGTTTAAGACCTTGTGATTGATTTGTTGACATTTGTAGTTTCTAAGCTTAGTGTTAAATTGTCCTAGCTGCCTGATAGTGACTTTTACAACTTGTTGTATAGAATACAAGCCTAACCAAAATTAATGTTTAACCAAATGCAAAGTTGAATGAAGCATCAACTCTTTACAAAAAATTAATTGCAATGCAACTTTTTAATTCATTAAAAGAAGTCATTGATAAGTAAATTGTTATATATGTGTCATTTATTAGCATTTGAATATGGTCAGTGCCTGGTGATGGGCTAATGATTGAATGTAATCGAAAATCTATCGGTTTACTCTTTCTGATTCCGATTATTGTTTATAAATTCAATAATCGATATAATCGGTTCATTATTGAAATCAAAGTGTCAAATGTATACAACGTGAAGTGTGTATTGATAAGTAATTTATTCTATTGAGTTTTACTTTATGTTTGACAAAAGTGCATACAAGTTTCTTAAAATCAATTCATTATAAAATAAACGAAACCAAATGTATAGTTGACGAAGCCGTCCTTTGATGTAACAGTAATGTTTTCACTTTGTTTGGGCATTTATTCCTATAAAATTATCAAACAATTATGCAATCAGTCATCGATTGGTTTACTACTTCTAATTACAATACCATTATGGATTATTATTTTAATCTGTTAATGTCATGTTTCACTTAATATCATGAGGAGATGAGATCTTATGTGAAATTCATTATATGTATATATTCAGCATGTCAATATCTTCTCTGCTGCTTAAATCTGTTGAAGGTACATTCATAGTTGGAAACGTTTGAAAGATGTGCCTGTATACGTACATTATCATGAACCTGTAACGGCCATGTTGTTAGAAGGCTTTATGTTATGAGATAATCTGGCCCCTGAAGTGATTGTTTCGAATATTGTCATGACTGTCCATCCTCCTTCATATTAAGTTTATATTATAATTTGACAATGGGACAACAGTCCACGAATGAGGGTTTGGATCCTATCAACAGTTGCTACTTTTACTACATGTACATAGATATGTTTATATACATCATTATTAATTGTTCATTTCATGTTTTGTGTGAGTTAGGTTCACCTGTCCACAGTCTGACACTGTGATACTGAAAAATACAACTGCAAAGAATTTATATACTCTCTGTCATACAGTTTGTTGACTTGACTGTAAATGGACAAATATTATACAACAATCAACTTCCTGTTTAACTGTCTCTATGCAGAAAAAAGTTAAATAGGTGATTTGTCAGTGAAGGAAATATGTTATGATGGGATGTTTGGATGTAGGAAATGAGTTTACACAGGAGATATCTCTAGAAATTAGTTTAGCAGGAGATTATTTTGGCATAGAATATTTTTTCACCAGGGGATGTCTCTGTTAAGGAAGCAGGATAACTAGGAGATGTTTCCTTGTAGGAAATAAGTTTACTCTGGGGTGACTTTGTTAAGAAATAAGTGTCCCTGCAGATATCTTTGTATAGGAAATAAGCTTATTATGGGATGTCCCTGTTTACCAGGGTTTTCTCTCAGTGTTTGAGATAAGTTATTGATGGTTCTTAGCATTCAATGTCAACTTTAAATATGGGACACATCAACTTCCAGTTTGTTATATATGCAAGTGATATGGTTGTCCGATATAGTAATTGTCTTATCGCACAAATGAATTAAAGCTGGGTAGATATCAATTTTTCTCTTCAATCACCCTGTCCCGGGTATGAATTACAGTGCAGTGCAGTAAGTGTGGATTACAGCTGAACTGTCGTAAAGTCTGCTTCTCTGTAAGTATATATGAAACAGCAGTGGGAAAGGTATTGATCTGTGTTTGGTATGGCAGTGTTACAGATACACACATGGTCTTATCAATCACTTGGTACTTTATCATTTTAAACAGTATGATAGCACACATTTCCCCATCAATACAATGTCAAAAAAGAATGAATCATAACAGAACTACTTGTCTCACACTTGGGGCTTCGCCAGGCCCTGCCAGTCGTTGACCGAGTATAGGGACATTTGTTGATGTTACGTTTACCAGCTATTTTCCTCTTGGTAATATAGGCGCTTATATACCCTGGGGTATACATATTTCAAGTCTGATATATATAGGGCAAAAAGCAAAAAAAGTTTACGAAAATTCCTTAGACATCCTGTCAATTATTTGTATAAGATGACTGTACTTATTATAGGAATAGTTTTGGGTTGATAGTAGTGAACCAGATTCTGAGGGGATTTAGTTTCAAGCTGAGTATCAACTGTCAAACAATGACTACAGTTTTTACTCTTTACCTAGATGGAGATTTACTTGAAATGTTTGCCTTTTTACTACCAAGAATGACAGCATCTGATAAATCTGTAGTGAAGGTTATCTGCCCCTGACTGTATTTGCTGTTCAGTTCACACTTCACCACCTAGTTGCCACCACTGGCATTTCCTTAGGTGTGTTGACTTGAATTATATATGTGTAACTGACAGGTGAATCCTGACTTTCTTTTTCGGTGTTTGCAGTTGGAATGAGCTAGATTGATCAACAGTCTACCTTTGTATGTCGACAACATGTAATGTCTATTAGATTGACCATAGTCTACCATAGTCTACATTTCTTTGTCTACAAACCATTTTGTGCCTGAGATACCTCCTATTTGTGTTTAGGAATTTAAGTGTTTTATGAAAGGATGAATACTAAAAAGAGAGCAAGTGCTAAAAATAATTACAATTCTTCATACTCCTTTTATTCTTATAGGAGTTGAGTACAAAATTGTATCATGCTTTGGCATTACTTTGGATGAGTCTGCAGGAAATTTTTGAACTTGCAATGTTTATGTCAATATTTTAAGTTTCATATTTATTATGATGGTTATCGACTCGGGTTTATATGCAGTTATTGGCCTTTGATAATTACATGCATAATGGATACAGCCCGTTACTGGCACTACAGGCATGCTCCTGTATTTGTCAGCTGAACAGGAATGCTGTTATATGGAGTTCACATTGTTATGTCGGGCTATCATGGTATATTAACTCATCTAATGAAAAATTCATATTTTCTCCTAAAAATAGCTTGCACACTTTCGTTGAAAAACAATTTATGATTTTTTTTCAGATAAAGTTATTTGGTGAGATCGGATAAGTAAGGGTGCTAAATTTAAAGATGTTCAAGTGACATGAAGGGTTTAAGCTTAGGACTGTCAAGAAACTTACATTGCTAATATAAATGTAAGTGGTATGTGTTATCCTGTTACTAATGCTCTCTCTCTCTCTCTCTCTCACTCTCACTCTCTCTCTCTCTCTCTCTCTCTCTTTCTGCAATGCTTTGGAGAGTGGAAAGGTTCTGTTGTGTTATCCTCTATCTCCAATGCTGAGGAGAGTGGGAAGGTTCTGGTGTGTTATCCTCTCTCTCCAATGCTGAGGAGAGTGGGAAGGTTCTGTTGTTTTATTATCTGTCTCCAATGCTGAGGAGAGTGGGAAGGTTCTGTTGTGTTATCCTCTCTCTCCAATGCTGAGGAGAGTGGGAAGGTTCTGTTGTTTTATTATCTGTCTCCAATGCTGTGGAGAGTGGGAAGGTTCTGGTGTGTTATCCTCTCTCTCCAATGCTGAGGAGAATGGGAAGGTTCTGTTGTGTTATCCTTTCTCCGATGCTGAGGAGAGTGGGAAGGTTCTGTTGTGTTATCCTTTCTCTGCGATGCTGAGGAGAGTGGGAAGGTTCTGGTGTGTTATCCTCTCTCTCCAATGCTGGGGAGAGTGGGAAGGTTCTGTTGTGTTATCCTCTCTCTCCAATGCTGAGAAGAGTGGGAAGGTTCTGGTGTGTTATCCTTTCTCTTCGATGCTGAGGATAGTGGGAAGGTTCTGTTGTGTTATCCTCTCTCTAATGCTGTGGAGAGTGGGAAGGTTCTGTTGTGTTATCTTCTCTCTCCAATGCTGAGGAGAGTGGGAAGGTTCTGTTGTGTTATCCTCTCTCTCCAATGCTGAGGAGAGTGGGAAGGTTCTGGTGTGTTATCCTCTCTCCAATGCAGTGGAGAGTGGAAAGGTTCTGTTCTGTTATCCTCTCTCTCCAATGCTGAGGAGAGTGGGAAGGTTCTGGTGTGTTATCCTCTCTCCAATGCTGTGGAGAATAGGAAGGTTCTGTTGTGTTATCCTCTCTCTCCAATGCTGAGGAGAGTGGGAAGGTTCTGTTGTGTTATCCTCTCTCTCCAATGCTGTGGAGAGTGGTAAGGTTCTGTTGTTTTATTATCTGTCTCCAATGCTGTGGAGAGTGGGAAGGTTCTGTTGTGTTATCCTCTATTCCCAATGCTGAGGAGAGTGGGAAGGTTCTGTTGTGTTATCCTCTCTCTCCAATGCTGAGGAGAGTGGGAAGGTTCTGTTGTTTTATTATCTGTCTCCAATGCTGTGGAGAGTGGGAAGGTTCTGTTGTGTTATCCTCTCTCTCCAATGCTGAGGAGAGTGGGAAGGTTCTGTTGTGTTATCCTCTCTCTCCAATGCTGAGGAGAGTGGGAAGGTTCTGTTGTGTTATCCTCTCTCTCCAATGCTGAGGAGAGTGGGAAGGTTCTGTTGTGTTATCCTCTCTCTCCAATGCTGAGGAGAGTGGGAAGGTTCTGTTGTGTTATCCTCTCTCTCCAATGCTGAGGAGAGTGGGAAGGTTCTGTTGTGTTATCCTCTCTCTCCAATGCTGAGGAGAGTGGGAAGGTTCTGTTGTGTTATCCTCTCTCTCCAATGCTGAGGAGAGTGGGAAGGTTCTGTTGTGTTATCCTCTCTCTCCAATGCTGAGGAGAGTGGGAAGGTTCTGTTGTGTTATCCTCTCTCTCCAATGCTGAGGAGAGTGGG